ACGGAAAGAGTTGCGTCCCTTACACTTCATATTGAATTTGACACCTTTGCTACAAGCTATTTCGGCCATTATTACAACATGGACAGATTTGACTTGAAGTTGATACCAGAGTTCGACGGCTCCCCCGCTGGCCCGTCTATGGTCGAGTGGTGGGAAAAGGCCGAGCGGGTCTGCTGGCTGTGTAAAGTTAAGGATCCCGCGCTGGTCATCCCTCTGAGGCTCACCAAAGGAGCTTATGCTGTATATCAGCAGCTCAGGGATGATGCAGACTTGGAAAAATTAAGAAATTAAATTCGCAGGCTCTTTGTCGCCTGGAGGCAGTTCACCGCGGCAGCTTGGGCCAGATGAAACGGTAGATGTCTTTCTGATCGATTTGAGGAAGCTGGCCGCACCGTTCTGGAGAGCAAGGAACAGGAAACACCTTTTCTGGGGGACTCCCAGATGAAACTGCTACAAGTAGATCAATGAGCTGGGGCTTTCTGGCCAGAGCCTGGAATATTCTGAAGGACACCGTCTCAGCAGTGCAGAAGCACCCGCACCACCAACTGAGGACACAAGGTGCTATAAATGTGGTGGACTGAACCACTTCTCCAAAGACTGCCAAAGCCAAAGCGATGTGAAGGATAATGCATAATCATGGAACACGGAGACGTATGCGTTGCTACAGGTGCGACAAGCTGGGCCACGTAGCAAGAAGCTGTCCGGGAAACGGGCAAGAGGAGTAAGCTACAGCGCCAGCCTTCTCCCCAGATCGCTGCTGAACAAGGCGCTACCCACAGTGAGCATGCAGATTAACGGGCGTAAGCGCTTTGCGCTTGTAGACACCGGGTGCACCCAGACCCTTGTGTGCAAGGCATGTTGTGATATGTGGGACAAGAAAAAGATTCCAGTTCGGACTGTTGGCGGGAGGCTCGCTAGCCTCTTGTGATGGGGTGATGGGCCTGCAGTAGCCGTACAAGCCCTGGTTGTGGATGGAGGGCTGCTCGGCTATGATCTGCTCCTGGGAATGGACGTCATCAAAAAATTGGGTGGCGTCCTTGTTGACGAAGAGGGTCGGGCACGTTTCACTGAAACTGGTCTTGCTCTAGGTGCAGCAATGGAGCTGGAACAGCCTGACTTTCATGTGGAGTTCGACCAGCGCACAAAGTCCTGGACGGTATCCTGGAAATGGTTGGACGATCAACCGCTAGAGAAGTTGTACAACAGTGTGCCAGAGTATAAAATCCCCCCGCGAGCTCGTGCGGAATACGACAAGGAGTTGCAAGCCTGGATTGATAACGGATGGTTGGTTCCTTAACCAGAGAAAGAATTGGGGCCCCTGAGGGCCCTGATCCCGCTAATGGCGGTTATCCAGCACAACAAACAAAAGGTGAGTCCGGTGCTCGACTATCGGGAACTGAACGAGCACGTGGACCCTTTTACAGTCCGCGCGGACATGTGTACCGAGAAGCTAAGGGAATGGCAACAGACGGGATCAAATGTATCTGTGCTGGATCTTCGCAAGGCATACCTTCAAGAGCATGTGCACCGATCACCGTGGCCCTATCAAACTGTGCTTATCAAGGGGCAAAGGTATTGCCTGACCCACATGGGGTTTTGACTCAATGTGGCGCCATCAATTATGCAGATGATTGTTGACACCATTCTGATGAAGGATGAGCGCAAACAGCGGGCAACATCTGCATATATTGATGACGTGTACGTGAACGAGGGAGTTATATCTGCGGCACGCATGAAGGAGCATCTCTACAACTTTGGCCTCCTCAGCAAGGAACCAGAGAGGCTACAGGATGGTGCACGGGTGCTTGGTTTGCAGGTCTGGGGACAGGATGACGTTCTGTATTGGAAACGGGGAAACAAAGTCCCAGACATGCCCCCCGTTGTCACACAGCGAAGCATATTTTCCTTGTGCAGCAAGTTAGTTGGGCACCTTCCTGTAGGTGGCTGGCTGCATGTTGCGGTGGCATTCATCAAGCGGAGAGCATCTGACATCACCACTGGATGGGATGACGAAGTTCACGACGCCCCTCTCAACACCATGATGAGGGAGGTCCTCGCTAGAGTACGCAAGGAAGACCCAGCATGGGGCAGATGGTGCATCGACAGCCAAGACCTCGGTGTGTGGGTTGATGCAAGCTCTCTTGCAACCGGCGTATCGATAGTTCACGATGGAGCCGTGGTGGAAGATGCTTGCTGGTTACGTCCAAAAAAGGACTCCCAGCACATAAACCTAGCGGAGCTCAATGCTGTCATCAAGGGGATCAACTTGGCGATCCTTTGGAAGTCGACCACCCTGCATCTGTTCACAGATTCCGCTCTCGTCTATAAGTGGATCTCGGATACCCTTACCGGGAGGGCCAGGGTGCGGACTAAAGCCACCAGCGAGATGCTTATCCGACGACGGCTTGACACGATTGTGAAGCTGGTGCAAGAGTACGCACTGACAATGGAGGTGTCCCTGGTCAAATCTAGCCTCAACAAGGCAGATTGTTTAACGAGGGTGCCCCAAAGGTGGCTTGACGCCACTAAGAAAGCTATTGAGCCCGTGCAACATGCCTGCGCTGTGTCCGTGAGTTCCGTTCGATCTAATCAAATCAAAGAAGTCCACCAACAAAGCGGGCACCCTGGAGTCAAGTGGACCCTGTATTTCGCCAAGTTGGTTGACCCAGGAGTACAAAAGACAGACATCAAGAGAGTGGTCAGAAGCTGCGTGGCGTGCCAGTCTATAGACCCAGCAGCCGTTCGTTGGAAGAAAGGGCAGCTGAGTGTGAGGAGGCACTGGAGCCGGCTGGTGATAGACGTTACTCACCACAACGGCGAGGATTTCCTGACGCTCATTGATTGTGGTCCATCTAGGTTTGCGATATGGCGGCTGCTGTGTTGGCAAGATGCAGCCACCATCATCCATCAGTTAAACAGTATCTTCCTTGAACGTGGCCCCCAATGGAGATATTAACCGACAATGGCACCGCATTCACCAGTGAGCAGTTCGGGAGGTTTGCGGATGGCTGGTGAGTGCACCTACGGTTCCGGTGTGCCCACGTACCGAGTGGAAATGGGATCATCAAGCGGAACCACAGGACCGTCAAGACCATCGCAGCCAGGACGGGCTGCGTGGTGTCTGAGGCAGTCTACTTGTACAACGTGATCCCGAGGGATGATGTCTCACCCTCTACGGTGCCAGCCGACACATTGCATAGGTACCACATCAGAGTGAAAGGCATAGAGACCAACCCACTGCTCGAACTGAAAGTAACCGGAGAGAGGCTGAAGAAAGGAGATGTCATCTGGATTAAGAGCTCACGCAGCAAGTGTACAAAGAAATACGGAACCGGACATGTCACTGAGGTGATCAGACCCTCAGGCAGTGCAGGTTGACTGTGTGCCCACCGTTAAGGACCTGCGGCCGAGAGCGTTGCAATGCTGGAAGATGAGAGCTCGGAATCTAAGACCAGTGAGGCATCGCTCTGGTTCACGCCAGCTCCATCAGGCAGTGAATCAGATATCAGTAGCCTTCCAAGGGACGCTGTGTTTTTCGACCCTCAGACTGCGGACGGGAGCACAAGCGACGATGAGGCTCGCCGCCTCCCTGCCAACTCTGTGATCATGAGATCAGGGGAGTGTGGGGAAAATAGAAATGGCTCACCTCCCAAACGCCCTCACGTCTGTCTGGCCTGTGGGTTGAGAAAAGAAAGAAAGGGTCCAAGATGGCGCCCGTGACTTTTTAATATTCACAGTCTCATGCAGTCTCGCAAGGTTGCGTTACACACATGCTAATGAGGTGTGTCTGGGCTCCATAAAAGCAGGTCGCTTGGAGAAATTGGCAGAAGCCATTACACCCATGTTCGGTATACATTGTTTGCATTGTGTCAGACATTTTCCTACGGAAAGAGTTGCATCCCTTACACTCCATATTGAATTTGACTCCTTTGCTACACCTACAACGTAACAACTACCCTGGGTACATGGCAGCATCCTCAAAAAACTGGGATAGATGGGTACAAGAGGAGGACAACAACTCAGAAAACAGTCTGCCTACCTTCTGTGAAGGGGTTATCAGAGAAAATACAAAGGATCTGCGGTCCATATAACATCAGGACAACCTTCAAAAGCTTGACGACAAATCACAGATACCCTCCTGGGTCTAGACCCCATCATCAGAGAACATGACTAAAGACTGTGTGTTTATAGGATCCCGTGCATTACGGAAAGAAATATAAAAAAGATATGCAGGCCACTCCCTTTATAAGGGACTCAAGAATTCAATTAAAATAATCATGACAATATTTTAAAAAATTTTGAAATCATATTTACCACATTTGGAGCATCCATGGAAGATTTTTTAAACTGTTTCTAAAAGGTTGAGATCATAGACAAATTCCACCATTAGAAAATTATAAACTTCCACTGAATCATTTATATTCAATAAAAAAATTTCCTTTGAAATTCCCAAGCATAGAAATTGAATACAATATGGGAACCAGTAATAAGGAGTGCCAGAGAAAAGCAATAATAAAAATAAAAAATGTAATATGAGCTCTGGTAAAAAACATGAATGATGATAACAATCAAAAATTGCAATATGAGCACTAGTAAAAAATGATTGCTGAAGACATTAGAGAAAGGACAAAACAATAAAAATAAACTTAACAGTAACATAACAGTAAAAATAGGCTAGCAGGAAATCTTGTAGATGAGGGTCACTTGAAAAGCAGTGTCTGCTATTTTGTATGTGGACATGACATCAGAACACTGATGTACACCCAGGTTTTTCACTTAAGATTGAATCTTCCAGTTTGGACCCATAATTTTTTGTCTTGTTGCAGATAGTAATTTTGAAAAATAACATCTAACATAAAAGTAAATATAAAGCAGAGATGCATCTTTGGATTTCTCCATGTGGAAGAAATTGCTTCCATTAACAGTCATTGACACTTACTAAATATTTATAGAGATTAAGCAGTACTTGTCAGTACAACTGAGTGATAGATAATGTGTAACTAATTGTGGTGACTATGTGAGAAAACAGTGTTTTATAGCTGAAAACTTCATCTTTCCAGTGAACTCGGTGTGGTCCCTGTGGAAATGGGAGGCATTACTTTCGGAGCGTCCGTTATAGGTTACATTAAAGAACATAAGAGAAAGTGAATATGGTGAGTTAAAGCCTATGGAAAAATGATGTAATATTAAAATTTTAAAATGCATCTTACCTTGGGAAATACAGTCGCTTCTTCTCCAAATAGAGATTAAGACCTTTCTGAATGTCTTCTAAAAGTACATTGGCTTCCTTGAGACGTGGAAGCATATTGGTTTGTCCTGTTGCAACAAGACAATGTGTATTATTCACAGCTTTTATTTGTATATCTCTCCAAATGCTATCAACCATTGCAAATTTCTTGCTCTCACTTGGCATTTGTGCCATGATGTCCTCAGAGCTAAAGATAGGTTCCAAATACAGCCATGTAGATTGACACTACAATAATAAATTTAAAAATCAATCACATTATTAATTTGTGAGAATTTTGTTTTTACATTGGTATCACCCCAAGCAAGTCAGTACAGCCACTATCATGCAAGGTATGTGAAAGAATTAGGAACAGAAACATTAGTAATGATCAGAAAGGGAAAAGAGCAATCATGAGGACAGTAGATAGTGATTGACATTGCATTTAAATTTTTGCAGATGAAAGTTGGCTGGAATGCATGGGACTGGGAAGGAGTTTCACAAGGAAGAAGTGTGGGATAAGAAATAGTTAGCATAGAAGTTGTAGCTACATCTATCTAGCTCAACTGTAAATTGATGAGATCTTGCCACCAGTTTAGCATTGCACTTAAATTCATACAGTCTAGGTACCATAGTGAAGAGCTCATCTGAACAATTACCATGAAAGTATTTATAAAAAAGGCATAGAGAGTAAACCTTATGGCCTAGGCAAATGATTGAAGCCAAACCACTAGATCAGGACCAATAATATTGCTGATTCTTCTTTGGAGCTGCAGGTAAATGGCAGGGGCACTGGACAATATATGGCAGTAATATTCCAAGCATAGACTTATAGATGTGCAAGATAGATTTCAGAGGGAAAAATTGTCTTGCCTGACACAGTGAACTGACTTTCTTGGCAGAGGATCTAGCAATGGATTCAGTATAATCTTTCCGCCTCATGTCAGTTGAGAACGTTGTCCCAAGAAGGTGCAACGTGTCACTTTCCTGGAGGATAGCATCAGCCATGTTGATGGAAGGCAGAGAGTGGTCTCTCAGATGATTATCTGAGAGAAGTTTAGTTTTGGAGGCATTAAAATTGACAAGCCATCTTTTGCCCCAATTAACAATGGTCTTGAGTTTGTTTAGAACACCAGCTGCCATTTTGACCTTGTCTGACTAATCAGCCTTAATATCAAAGCAGGAGTAAATGGTAGTGTCATCAGTGTAGATGACAAGTTGAGAGCTAATGTCATCAGGAAGGTCATTAACAAAGATTAAAAACAGCATAGGACCAAGGATGGAGTCCTGGAGGATATCTGCGTTAGTACGAAAGGATATAGAGGAGTGGCTACTCAGGAGAATTTTCATTTCATGTTTGGAGTTTGGATAGAAACAAGTGGATCAACTTAAAAATGTACTCAGAGAAACCATAACATTTCAACTTGTGAAGAAGACCTGAATGCCAGACCCTCTCAAAGACTTTTGATATGTCTAATGCTACAGCCTGGGCTTCACTGTTTATATCTAGAGCTTGATAGACACTTTCCACAATTATTGTTAGCACATCAGCAGTTGACCTGGAAAAATTTTTTTTATATTGCTTGTCTAAGAAAAGGCCCTGCAATGAGAGATGATGAACCAATTCAGCATTGATTAGGGCCTCTAGGAGTTTCCCCAAAAGAGGTAAAAGGCTAATAGGCTGATAGTTGGAAGTGCTGGATGGTTCGTCAGAGTTCTTAAAAACTAAAACAACAACTAGCAGGAAAGCAGGAGGCAGCATATACAATTTAGAGAGAACAGGATCTAAATTGGGAGCACACTTCTTAATCACTATTACAGGGATACCAGTGGGTCCACATACTTTGTGGGGATCCAGGTTAGAGATGATAGCAGAAACCATGAAAGGGATTATATGTATATCACTTAACAGAGAATGAGTTCTAAGTGGGAAGTTAAGCAGGGATGACTCAGATGATTCAAAAGTAAAGTTTGAGGAGAATTTATGGGCAAAACAGGGGATGAAAGTTTTATCAGCAAAGGATTATAACACCTGAAAATCGATTGAAGAGGGGAGGGGAATAGAGACCTTGTACTTATTTAGTACCCTATTCAGAGCCGCCAGTAATCACAAGAGCCAAAGTTTTTAGAGGCCATGCAGTGCGTGATTCTCTCAACAAACAAGGATTTAGCTCCTTCGAAGACTCTCTTACATTTGTTACAGACAGATGCAAATAGGTCCATTATGACAAGAGCTGTTATGCTGGTTTAACCAGAAATAGTGGTTCCTGTGTGCTCTGGTGGCTGAACATGAAACTAGAGCAGCCTGTTGCTCAATTTGGCTAAAAGGAAATGAGTATTTAAGTCCAAACCCAAAAGAAACCTAATGGAAAAATTTTTTGTCTGTATACTGGCAAAATCAAAGTAATTCAGAATGAGTCATCCATGTGTCATGGTGAGCATTTAAAGTTCCTGAAAAAAAATGTTCAAGATGGATGGAGAGAAAGTGCCTTTTCTATACTGTCAAGCATTTTTAATCTAATATACTTTCAGTCTTGAAAAGGAGGGGGATAAATAAAGGAAAAAAGATAAACACAGAGTTTAGTAAAAAAAAACGGAAACATTTTTTAGTAAGGTCAGTGACCTTTTGATATGAAAAATCTCTGTCCACCTGCCAATTATCCTGGATGTAAACACCAAATGAAATGCATATGAATAAACAAATCTTTTTTGTCAAAGAGAAAGATACCTTGGAACCAAAATTCATTGAGCACAATGGAAGAATTCAAAATGATTTCGTTTGGGCAAAGATATTTTCTGGCAACTGTTCCAGGAGGATAAATTCTTTGAAGAGAAGTTGGATACCATGAATTATTGGAGAAAAAAAAGATTGATTAGGGTAGATGTTTTTTTTTATCAGATGTTTTATATTTTTTTTTTTTTATTTGTTATTTCCATGATATATGCTTTTAGGAGAGAAAAAGACCACTATAATTGTCAATCTCTTGAAATCAAAACCATTTTGAATATTAACCAGCCAAATGTGAATAATTGGGAGCAATTTTTAATTTGAAGTTATGACCTCATGGTTGACCACCAGAAATATTTTAATGCATTGGACATCTACCCATGCAATAACATGGTTTTGGATACCCCAATATTATTACAACTGTTGATCAAAGTAGCCTTTTGAATAAATAATACCAAAGAGTTTGGGGCTCTAACAACTAGTCTGAACCAAGCAAAAGAGCCAAATTAGTTCCTTCATAATGGAAAAAAACAATTATGGTTAGTCTGATCATCAAAAAGTTAAGACATTTAAATCATTATATATATTCAAAAAAAAAAAATAAAGAAAACTTATCCTAAATAGGGAGCAAGGATGAACCTCTACTCTGTTCAGTAGACATAATTTATAGACCAGATGATAGGTGAGCCTATCTACTCCTATTAATCTATCAAAAAAAAAAAATATTTATAAAATATTTTGAAAATCATATTAAATAATGACTTAATATAAGTTCTGATGTCTAAAAAAACTAAAAAGTCCTATGGTAGAAATTAATTTTTTCAGCATTGATAAATAACAGTGGGTAAGCATATTCTAAATTAAACAAGTTGAGAGGAGGGGCTTCAATAAAAAATATTGATAATAATTAAATAGCAATGGAGAAGATTTTATATACAGAACAAAAATAAAAAAAAAAAAAACAAAAAAAAAAAAAAAAAATTATACAACAGTAATATAGACATTAAATATTTAAAAAAAAACATCATGGCAAATGTTTTCTAACTTTCAAGTTTTTTCAATTGGACTTCTTGTCAGACTTGATATCAATGGTGGATTAGTAAAAATTAAAGAAACTCTGAAATTTTCTTGAATTCAACAAAATATGATGGATTGTTTTGGAAGTAGGAATTTTTTGGGGTGAAGGGTCCAAGTAAACACTGAAATCACTACCTTGGGATGGGCTGTCTGTAATCATGAACATGGTATCATTATGATGGTCTTGAATCTCACTTTTTTGAGAAAATTGTAGAAAATCATTGGCATTTATCATTTTATAGTTGATTTAAACTAGTAATTTCTCATTTTCTTGCAACAATGTGGTGACAATGTGTACAAATTTTTCAAAAAATTATTTCAGTATGAGCCTCTTTTATAAGTCAATTCAAAATACAGATCTCAATTCTTATTGATTGCATTGACATATAATCAAAAATATTTCAAAAAAAATTTTTTTTTTTTATCACTCTTTAGTCTAACTTCCAAAAATTCAATTTTTTTTCTCATGTTTTTTTATCAAAATAAACCAAACAATGTGAAATCATTGAAAAGTTTTGATTGAAAATTAAATTCATTTAAATATTTCTTCATTTTTTTATATTTTGATTTATATATATGTAATTTCTAACTTAAATATATTATATTTAAATGAATTTTTCCTTTTTGCTATTATTATATATAACCTATTAAAAAAATAAGTTTGGTGAAACTGCCAAATCCTGTTTTGAGTTTCTTTAAGAATCTGAAACAAAATATCTGAAAATGACCAAAGAAATTATTGAGCAAAAGAATGAAGATACATGTGCTAGGATGAATATATTGTTCACTCTTATAGTAATAGACAGACATTTGAATTAAAAGTAAATATATAAAATAACTTTTATAAGCTGAATCTCATATGATATTATTTAATTAATTTAAATAAATTTTAATATATAATGCAAACACTGTTAAATTAAATAACAATATACAGTACAAATGAGTAGAAGAATATATATTACTGGTTATATTATTTGATAAAATTGAATATAAATATATTCTTGTACAATTTATTTCCTACAAATAAACATTTTTGAACATATTTTTTTATATAAATATAAATTGTTCTTCCATTGAATCTTCAGGCATATTAAAGCACATTCAAATATATATATATATATATATATATATATATATATATATATATATATATATATATATATATATATATATATATATATATATATGTGAAAAAAAATATAAATATAAATAAATATATATATATATATTATTTATATATTATATCATGTACTTATTATATAAGCGCTCAATATCAGAGATAGAGCTAACATATTTGGTTGGATAGATGTGAGTTTGTGACCCTGGGTTTCACGCTTTAGCGATCGTCAGACAAACTGATTAATGTTTTAAAAAATTTGGGTTTATGTAGATTGCGTGTATTGGTGTTATTGTGGAAGTGGTGGGGGAAATTTCATCGTTTTGTCATTCATCATACGAATGCAAACATCAATATATGCAGACACATATACATACTTGGTCGTCCATCGGGACTCATACATATATAAACATATGTGGTCAGTTTCGGCTATGACACATGTATGTATACGGGTGGTGTTATATCTATACATACGCATTTGTATGTTGAAATGTTGAAATTTAAACATTGGAAGTGTGGCGGAAATGTCTCGTTAATGTCTTGTGAATGTATACATGTCATATTATGTATTTTTCTGCTGAAAAATATTTCCTCGCATGTATATATATACGTGTGGTGGGGTTTGTGTAAAATTATGATAGGTAAAAATTATTATTATTTATATTTATTTTTAAATTTAAAAAAAAAAAAAACGGGGGGTTTATTTGTTATATTTAAAGCTGGTTATTTGTTTGTTTTTGGTGACTGTGTATATGTAACAGGTAGAAATTTGTAATCCTTATTGGTTAATTTATATGGTGATGTTTAATATTCAATGTGCTGGGTGAGAGGGTAGTTCAATTTAATAACGGGTCTATATGATATGATGTGATAGTAATGTTTCAAGGGATTGGAGACAATGATAGTTAGCTAATAGTTATTGTAAATTGGTAGAAATTGTAAATTGGTAGAAATGATTAGTAACGGTGGTGGGAGAATGATAAAACCATGAATGTGGTTATAGTGGTGGTAGCTTGAACTAAAAAGTGGTTGTTGGTGTTTTATTTTATTTTTGTATTATTTTGTTATATGTATTAATTTATTTTGGTATAAATCCTGATAATAGGTATTTTGTGTAAAATTATGGTAGTTGAAGATTGCTACAATTTTTAATTACAAAATTATTATTGTTATTATATTAAAGCTGCCTGGTAATAGGTGTTTATTCTCATGGTTACATATGGAAATTATATCTGATCATATTGTTTTAAGGTATTAAATATGCTGGGGGGGAGTAATAAAGATTGTAGTGGATTTATATGTTAATAGTGGGTGTGATGTGTAAGTGATGGTGCTGTGTGTTGGTGGTAATGATAAGATTGTTAGTTAATAGATATTGTAAAGTGGTAAAAGTGATTACTAATGGTGGTGCAATTATAATAATGATAGATGCAATTATTTTGATGGTATCTTGAAATTAAATTGTGATTGTTGGTGGTATGTCTGTTTTATCCGTTTGGTATGAATTCGGATAATAGGAACTTGTTCTCATGCCTACATTTGGAGATTATCTCTGATTTTTTGTTTAGTAAGTTCTTTTTTTTTGGTTTGTGTGATATTATTGCTACTTTTTCGTGTAGGCAAAGTAGGCATTTTTTCGTAATGTTGTTGTAGGCAGGGGCTTTTTTCAATATTTCTCAACTTATTGTTGGTGTGATGTTTTTGTCTTTTTGCTGCCATATGTATGTAGAAAGTGTTGTGCTGTTCGAATATTTCCTGTTGTTGAATGAAAGGTTGTGATTGTTATTCCTCATCTTGAATGGACCTTCGGTGGCACCGATGTAGTGCATAGTGTTGTTGTTTGTACTTACCTTGGCCTTGTATATTGTGTTTGTAATTTGGCAATTTCCCTGGAGTGGACACGTTGTTCTGTTTCTGCAGTTGCATATTGGATCCTCGGTTACATTTTTGTAGGTTGTCATTTTTTTGTTGTGGCTTTTGATTATTTCTGTTATGTTTTTTGTACAGCTGTAACTGATCTTTACGTTATTTTTGTTAAATATTTTTGATAATTTGTTTTCTTCAGTGAAGTGTTTTTCTATTAAGTTTAGGAATATTTTGCCTATGTTCATTTTAACAGTTTTGTTATATGGTGGATTAAACCAGATAATGTTTCTCTTTCTGTTTCTGCGTTTTGGCTGTGGAGGTATATATTGTAGTTGTTGTGTGTAACCACTTGCTTTTAGTGCTTCGTTGTATGGTGCTTTTTTGCTATTGAAAATGTATGTTAGATGAGTTCTCAGATAGTCTGCGGCTGATTGATTTTGGTATTTGTTTGATGATAGAAGGTGGATGGTTGGAGGATGTGTGTACGTAAGTTGGGGTGTCATTTTCTTTTTTATATGGTTCATATGTGTTTGTTGATCAGGTTAAGAGTGACGTCAAGGAAGTTTACTATTGTTGTGCCTGTATTTATCTCTATTTTTGAATCCAATGTTTTTTAGGGCGTTCACTATTTTCTTCCAGAATTTGTCTACTTTGGGGCCATTGGATTCCCTTATTAATATAAGACCGTCATCTCTGTAAAATCATAACATTCACGAGACATTAACGAGACATTTCCGCCACACTCCCAATGTTTAAATTTCAACATTTCAACATACAAATGTGTATGTATAGATATAACACCACCCGTATACATACATGTGTCATTCATGTTGGGACAAAACATTTTTTCTCAAGAATGAAATTTCACAATGAATTCAATTGTGGTAATACCTAGTGTATGTGTGTGCATATAAAAAAAAAGAAAGGAGGAGAGAATATGTCAGTTGTTATTATAAATTAATATATATATAGAAATATACAAGTACACGCAATCATGTAGATTCATCATGAATATGCTTATCAATTATTTAAGACATTTAAGATTTTAGAAATTTTAAATGTTGGTTACATCAAATGAAAAATAATGTGTATTCCATAAATAAATAATATTAAAAAAAAGATATTAAAATTATTTAAAAAAAAAAAAAAAAACTATATTTAAGTCTATATTTTTGAAAAGTGAAGCAAAAATATCTCTTACCTTTAACCATTCTTCTATGATATCAAACATGCTCACTAACTTCTCTTCCCAATCCTTCATCTCATTCTCAAAAGGTTTTATGAATGGTGAGCCTTTCATAGTTTGTGCTTTCACAATGTGATCATCAAGTAGCAACTGAATATCATCAATACCACTCAAGATAGAGATTCCCTAAGATCAAATAAATAAAATAAAAAAAAAAGGTTTAAATATCAGCTTTTATTTTAGAAATTCTAACAAGTTCCAGGCGATTAATTTATAAATTTAAAAGAAACAATATTTTAAAAAAAGAAAACTGTATTTTAAGGGAATTTTATCAATAATTATCATTTTCTGTATATATATACTTTAAATTGCATATTAAAATCTGGCAATATTTTCACAATAAAATTATTATTAACCAAGCCATACAGCACACTGTTTCCAAATTTCTGGCAGAGTGAATTGCACCATGATGCTCTTTTTCTCACAGACGGTGCTCAACTGATCCTACTATACTGTGTAAAAACAAACAATGTGCATGTGAGAAATTAAAAATATAAAATGGTGACAATTTACACATATTCACCTTGCATATATGTGTGCATGTATGTATGTATGCATTAATATAGTTATTGATATTATATTTTCATTTCAGGATATAACTTCAAAAGAGAAACAAGAAAGACAAAGTTACCAAATTATAAGAAATAAAAAGAATGTAAGATTTAAAATTACAAAAAAGTTGGAGAGATATCAGAAAACAATCAAAAAAGGAAATTCAATACATTAGCAAAATAAGACCAAAAAATGAAAAACTGGCTTTAAGAATGTCATAAAAGAGATCTGAGAAAAATTAAAAGAAAAGTCAATTGTTCAGCAAGAAAATATTTGAATAAATTCATATTGTGAAAGTAATCAGAGTAAAGATGCAGATAAGAATATTGATTAAAACATGAAAGCAATCAAATTACCACATTTAAATAAGTGCCATAAAGAGAAATGTGTAAGTTCAGTGAATATGTAAATGAAGACTGATATTTCCATAATAATTTTTTGTATTTCATGTAAAGTTATAATGGATGAATAGCTGAGTCCCTCATGGCATAGAATACAACAAAGATGAGGTGGAGTAATGTTTTGGCCTAGTATTGTATGCAGTAAAATTATAAGTCCTATTAAAGTCAATGACAATGGTCCAAAATAAAAGTAGAGAATTATTGTAAGTTCTTGGAAAAGACATTTTTTTGTGTGGTTGTTGAGGTAGCAGAATTGACAAAATTCTCCATAACAATAATAATAATAAGAAGACAAAACAATATAAGGCAAAGTAAAGCAACTCTAAGACAGTAACAAAGTAAAAAGTTCACAAAATAGAAATAGTGCTCACATGCAAAAGGGATACAATCCAGTGGTTATTCTGACTTCAAGGCAAAAAGAAAAAATATGTGTGGGCAAGACCAAGAATTGTCTATTTTTATTGTCTAAAAAGAAATCTCAGTATACATATGTAGGATTTGTCTATAAATTTAGAGAGGGGTGATTTTTAGCAAGTCATTCCCTGAGATTAAAACCAATAGAGAAGCTTTAAACTAAAGCATCTATTCATGTATGACAATGAACCTTCATATTCTACAAAGCTGACTATTTTTCATCTTATCAAAAAAAAAAAAAAAACACTTGAAAAACATAAAATTAACAGAATGGCCCTTAACTTTTTCAGATATTAATGCAATAGAAAACTTGTTGACCATCATTAAAAGAGATATATGATGATAAAAACAATATTCAAGCAAAGATCTTTAGGAACTAAAAAAAACTTACAAATAATTTTAAATTTGAAAAAGTCAATAAGTTATCAAATACAATAGTTGAAAGACTAAAGTTTATAGAATGTCAGTGAGTCCATATTAAGATGTAAAATAATAATTTATTCAGGTATATTGGATATTGTGTTAATTGAATATATGTTTATATGGCATATTTCTTTTCAATATGTTTATAAATTAAAATTTAATGTTGCACTGTGTTTGAATAATAAAACCTGACAGCCACAAAACAAGTTATCAATATTTTGAATAAAGATGTAGATTATAATGTGAAATTCACATGGAAAATTGTTGACATATCTTTAACATTTCAGTAACCTCTGTCAATGATTTTATGAAAATGTTGACTTGCATACTATTTTTGATAGTGTACTAAAACCTTGCTTGGTTAGTTTTTTCTTTATTAAATTCTGTATGTAAATTTACATTTCTTTTTTAAAATTAGGAAGTATTTTCATTTAGATTTTTAAATATTTTCAAAATAATGTATGTACAAAACTTATTACCATTGTGTAAATAGGTGACATTAATTGAAACTAGTAAAAAACTATTATTATAATAGTGCAAAGAAAAATGATAAGAGGTTGATGACTAATTAAAAAAATTATTTAAATGAAAGGGATTAGGACATGAAAACATAAAATTTCTCTAACATTATTTGTTACATTTTAAAAAATTTACAACTAAATTGAATTAAGTAGAATACTACATGTTAATCAAACAAAATAAAAAACATACACACACACACATATATATATATATTACAATAAATCATTTATACAAAAAGTAGATTAGTAAAGTTAATGATATAAAATGGCAAAATCCTTTCGCAAACAAAATTTTAAAGTTGCATTAACCTACAAATCACTTGATGAGTGTTATGATCCTTGTTTTTAATTAAATACAAGCTCTATAAGGTCTTTTTTAATCTGCAAGTACTTTCAACTGCACATTCAGTCATCTTCAGGCATGGAAATTATTTAGTTTTTAGTAAAATCCAGGTAGCATCAGAGACAAAAAAATTAAATGCAAATCAAAATATGTTTTTTTTTTAAATGTTTTGTTAACGGATACAAACTTTGGGAGCATGCAGTCACAACACTAAGGTTGAATTTTCTGAGTTTATTCTACAACAAAAAAATTCTCAAATTACCATAGTACTAAAAAACACACTCTCTTAAATTTAAAAAAAAACAAAATAATTTCCATGCTTGAGGATGACTGAATTAACTTTACTAACCTACTTTTTGTATGAATGATTTATTGTAATATAAATTGAACTGCACCACATATTTGATATATATATATATATATATATATATTATATATATATATATATATATATATATATATATATATATATATATATATATATAGTTATGTCTTTTCTACCATCAACAGAAAGTTACACCTCCTCTTAATCAGTCACTTAATTGTTATTTTGTTAATTTTTTTTTCTTAAAACTCAAAAAGTTTACTTTTCTTCAAATGGAAAAGAAAAATATTTTCATATGATTAAATCCATTTATTTTCTTTATATTTTTGTAGAATGCTGAACAAAGATGTGTAACTAAATAAATGAATATTAAATACCAAGTTAAATACCAAGTTTACTCACAGTTTCTCTGTAAGGAACCATCTCAAAATACATATCCTTCCATTCAGACTTCATTTTAGACAAAGCTTTTTCTAAAGAATATTCCTTGGCTGCTGCTACACCAATCTCTTCAAGTCTGCCATTTATTTTGAAATACAATGGATAAAAATTTACTACGCAATATACAATAAGCATTTTGCATTTAAAAAGAAAAAGAATGGTTTCATTATCCCAGTTTTAAAATAAAATGTCAGACTAACTGCCAACAAAGCATCTGAAGAAAATTTATCTATTCTGTTATTTTAATAAAGGCCCTATTTTATGTCATAAATATTTAAACACTATGAAAACGTTTACTTATAATCTTGTATCAACTTTATTCTATTGAAAATACAGAAGGAAACTTTACAAACTTCTAAGTGAAATATTGGAGCTTTACTTTTCAGAGATGGCATAATGCTAAAATAATAAATCCCATTCTGTATATAATATATTGCAAAATAGATTAAAAAATGGAGTCTTTAAAACTATTTATTCTTGTTTAGTTGTTAGTAAAATGAATATAGATTTTTGACTAGATAGGTCTGAAAAACAAAGAGATAAAGTTAAATATGTGAAGATGTTTCAACATCATCTGTTTCAGGTGATAAAGGAGTTTAATTTCAATTGTATGCAGAATTCGATTTAGCCATTTTGGAGTAAGCAGACCTCTATTTTCTAGGAGCATATATCTTTAGATATTCTCTCTCTCTTACACACATCAAGTAGTTGTTGAAAAGTTAAAATAAATTTCCACAGCTTTTATGAAATCATGTCTCTTATTTTTTATCTTGGCATTCTTCTAATGTACTGGCTGCTTTATTCAATTCATTGGCCAATTATTACACTTAAATCCTTTCTTTTTATCCTTATATATGGAGATATATGGACATTTAACCTCATTTTTTAGTCTGAATATATTCTAAAAAAAAGGAAATATGTTTCAATATTGTTAAGATTTCAAAAACATATCAAATAAACACAAATATCAAAATCTAAAATAATATTGGCCTTTATATATATTAGCTTTTCAGAGAAAAGAAGTTTATTTCAACAACATTGATTTTTGCTATATAGCCTCCTTCACTTCATTAGTCATAATACACAAATAACATGTTAACTTCTGCTAAATCTTGCAAAAGTGCACAGTATTTCATAGGTACAGAGATGCTGATAGGTGCACATCCTGTATCCATAAAGCATAAAAATCTTAAAGGACACATTAACTTTTCCATCTATGCATCTCAGGAACACAACTAAAGTTTCCCATGAAAAGCAATACATTGCACAAAACCAACTCATAACAGTGATGACATAGTAAATAGAATTTGTTGTGGGTTGATTCTAAGTTAGCAACAACATCAATTTAATTTAAAATGTAACTAATATATTCTTTCTGTAATCAAACACGAATCATTTGTCAAATGAACTAGATATTGATGATAATTAATGCATACATATATATATATATATATATATATATATATATATATATATATATATATATATATATATATATATATATATATATATTTTAAACATTTTTATTTTTTTGTTAACATACTTTTTAAAAGTATGAGTGCAAAATGTTTCAGGTACCTTCAAAGATCTGATAAAAAATAAGCATACATGATGAAAAAATGACTTAAACTTAATAAAAACAAAGTTTTATCATTAAAATCTTTGTTATTATTAAGAGGAAAGACAAAAGGAAATTTTTATTATTAAATTATATTTTTTGATCCTTTTTAGAACGTTTGAAATTTGGGTGCTTTTTCTTGTATCAGCAGGAGTGAAAGATTAGTATAGGAACTTTTGCATCTTTTTTCCTGCAAAAAACATATTGATTTGGAAATTTTTGCAAAAATCAAATAATTGTTGAATTTTAATTAAATTTTCTGGACTTTATTCACAAATAAATGAAATTATTTTAGAAATGTTGCCTATTTACAAAATCTTGTTAAGAACATTTTTTTTTTACATCTGTTAGCCTCCACTTATTTAATTTTATGAAATTTCAAGAAATTCATTTTTATACAGCTTAATGTTTATATTAGTTAAAAACAGAATTTCTGTTTTCATTTTTTTAAAATTTAAATTAGAATAATTTATAAAGTTTTAAATCTTTTAGCTTTGTACCAGTTAGTTGGTATTGTTATTAAGTAAAAACTATATTTACTAATCATAAAATAGAAAAGATTACTACAATTCAGTGATTCCCGCCACAATATTTTAAAAAAGTATTTTGAACTTTTTTGTGTGTATAAAAGTGTTGATTTTTGTAAATACAAACGTCCATAGACAACATTATCAGAAAATAAGAGCAGCAACTACAGTAAATTTAAAGCCAAATGTACCTAAAACATTAGATAATGGATAATATGTTTCTAAATTTTTAAGATCACTGGGGTAGTTAAATAATTATATGAAAAAGGTGCTTGTGTTATATTACTTAAGTAATTTTTAAATATATGTGCCCCATTGAAAAAAATGAAAACTTCCAGTTGTCAATCAAGCGGTCAATGCTTAATCAAAACACACATACCTCTGTGTTAAAAAATGCATTTCTGCAATATCTTAAATGAGAAGTAAGTACTATTTGTTTCAAATCAGACTAATTAAACATTAAATCAGTTAATATTCCTCAAATAAAGTTTCAGAAAAGTATATTTTATTTTTGAAAGAGAATTACATTGTGCTAACAGATGGCTAAAAATAAAATCAATGATTTTTAGTGATTTAAAAAAAAAATCATCTACATTTGGTCAATTTTTAAAATTGTTTTGAAATACAGCTAAGTAAGTTGATTATTGGGAATATTAAATTTAATCAATTAGCTTGTAATTAAAACTGAAATAAAAACTTTAAGAAAGATTTTTTTCATTTTAAACCTTAGGCATTGCATTTCTTTGGAGATATCTATTTTTAACTAACAAGTGGAGATATCTGTATTTATTATTCAGTTCACTGTTCAAATAACATTTAACAGGGCTCAAAAAATGTCTTTAGACAAAAGAAATTTTCTTGTATTGGTTGGTACAGACTGTAGGGAGGTCAATATTTTTTGTAATTTTAAATGATAAACACAGCATTAGTCATGTGATGTTATTCTTTCAAATACTTATTACTAGTTGTTCCTTCCTTTCTTTCATTTACTCTTTCCTTATTTTATTGGGCAGTGGGATGTGGGTGGGGCATGAAATAAACATCAATGTCACCTTACCAGACACTTTCTTGGTTACTTTTTTCTTTTAAATTTATTCTTGTATTTAATTTTAAAAAAACTTTTATTGTCAAGTTAAAAAAAAACCTCACAATTCTCAAATAAATATAGTTTTTAATTGAATTGTGATCAAGTGTAAATACTATATTTATTTTAAATTTATTGAATCAATTGAAAAAAAAAAAACCTTTGTTCATGTCATAATTCTCAAAAAATAATTTCTTAATTGAAATGTGATTAAGTGTAAATATGGTTTTTAACTGAATTTATTAATTTAAAAAATGAAACAAACTTGATAATTCTCTAAAATTATAGTTTCTTAATTAAACTGTGATTAAAAGCATAAATAATATTTTGATTTGAATTTATTAATTTAATTTGAAAAAAAAGAAAAAGTCGTTTTGTCAATTTAAGTCATTCAGCATGATTAAAGTTGTTTTTTGGGATGATGGTAAAAAAAAAAAAAAATTAGTCTGGAGCCCTGCACAGAAATTTAAGAAATTTTAGTTGGGACCCACTGAATTTCCCAAATCATCACCTGTGGGTCCCAGGGACTCACTACATTAAAAACCTATCATCATCACTGTAGGTATTAGAAGAAAATAATACAAATTTTTATGCTACCTTAAATTTCAGGATCTGGATTCATAAATATTTATTTTCTATAATATTGAAGTTTGTGTAATAAGAAATAATTTTCAACATTTAAGTGTTGTAGTGATATAAACGGCAATTCTCATCTTTTCATTGAGACAGTCATGAAGGTCAAATGATGGCCAGCAAGTGACATCAGAAGATAGAGTGATGAAGGACAGTTTTGATGTAGAACTCTAAGAAGTAGGACATCCCTAGCCCACAGCAGTTGGTTTTACAGAATAAAGCCACATGGCCTAACCAGGTTCATAGAGAAACCACTGTTATGCCCATGAAGTACAATGTTATTATACCAATGTTATTATAAAAATGCCCATAACAGGGGAAATTCAAATGGGATTTGCTTATTGAGAAGAAGAAAACAAAGAAAAGAAAATTCAAATTATATTATTCAATGTAAGTCAATAACAACTATTTAAAATTAGGCCAAAATATATTTCTTTACGTGAGGACATCTACAATATTAAAGGGAATGCTTAGGATGAAATACAAAAGAGAAAAAAAAAGGACTCACTTGGGTAGAAAATCTGCTAAACCAGAATTTAACATGTCATATAATGAAGTCTCTAAAGTTGGTTGCACAGAAAATCCCACAATGTTGCTAACCTGAAAAGGGAGATAAATACTCATTTGTAATTGACACAATTACCAGAGAGAAAATATTTTGAAGAAAAAGTACTAACTAGAATTTACATTCATATTAGAACCAGTATCAAACAATGTCCTCATCAAAGTTGTGCTTAAAATACAATGAAGAGAATTTAAAGTTTTATTATAGTATAAAGAAAACATTTTTATTAGTTCTGTTTGAAAAAGAGAATTAAAAACCGTTTAATGAACTGAGAAGTATCTCATAATTACCTGCTGCCAGTGTCGTTCTTGCATTCCAGGGTTACAGATAACTTGCAATATAGGTAAATGCTGTTTGAATTTATCCAATTTGCCCCTCACACTGTCTGCAATACGGCGTGGACCTGGCTGCTCACTCAATACTTTTGTTAGTTTATACATTGTCCGCCACATATCACCAACTTCATTTTCAATAACCTCAGAGTTTAATTCGATGAATGGGCCTGCAAGTAACATACTTTACATTCAAAATAAATCTCTCTTATAATAAATCTCTCTTATAATTACTTCAATGCATTAATGATGAAAACAATTTAAATAAGGATGAAAACAATGCATTTTGAATTAACTACTAACATATTTTAATGCCATGATTTATTGAAGATTAAATATAACAGCAAAAGTGTTAAATTTTAATAAAAGGTATAAAAATAAAGCATTCAAGTTCAAATGAATTTAAAATACTTAAAAGCTGATGCAAGAAACATTCTTGTGTCCAATGAAAATAATTTAACAAGGTGAAATTTGTTTATGCATGTAACTAATTGAAATATATTTGTTAATCTGTTTAATACATCTATTCAAATTAAATGAAAAAATAATTTTTAAACAAATATATATTTCAAAACCAATTCAGAAAAATTTTCTTGGGTGACATTAAGCTTATTCTTTACTGCAGACAGTAATGAAAAGTACAATTACCATTCATCCATGCTTCATGCTTTTGGTGGAAGTTATAAGCAGTATTCCACAGTTTATCATAAGGTTCTTTCAATTGGAACATCATTGGCAGAATAGGGAAGATACTTGTCTCAAACCCAAGTAATTGTTCCTGAGTGTTAATATCATCTAATTCATTTTGGGCTGCCTCTAAATTTTTATGTAAATAGTCCAAGTGTTCCACATTGGCTTTCATCTCATCTGAACTCATAATCTATGCAAGAATATAAAATGTATTATTTGAAACCTTCTTCACACTGAATGATTACATTCTGAAATACAAAATGAAAGCATATTGATGGCAATACAATATATGGTGAGATCTGCCAATCTTTTGGACAATGTTTATATTTGATACAGACATCAAACAATTTCTGTACTACATCCAAACGTAAATAATAACCAATTTTAATGTAAAAGAATTAAATAAAAAAATATAAAATCTGAATTTCCAATTATATCTCAGAGTTGCAAAGAACATCCGAAGTACTCTGAAAAACAAATGATACAATTTACAAATGATACAATTTATAAAATAAACTTTCACAATAAGTTTTAAGTATTTTGCAGTAATTTTATTATTTCTAGGTATATTAAATATATAAAAGGCTTCTGTAGAGAAAAAACAAAATGAATGTATATAGAATTATGGCTTCTATTTTTCAACAGCATTAGCTTAGAAATTCCTAATATACAATATTTATTACCTCTTTTCTTTTAAATGATTCAATGTCTTTCATCAAATCATCAAGATAGACTTTGAAATTATCCAGGTGAACCTTCAGTTCTTCTTCAATGCTTTCTCGTTTACTCTGAAGACGAGTCTGGCTTAATTCAAAGACACTCTCAATATTTTCTGGCCAATAGAACACTGTACTGTTTAACTTGATGTCTTCATCTTGAAATAAAATATAAAGAATAAATTTATAAAAAGTTAAGCTTACATTTATCTTTATTCATAATTACTTATAAGAAAATTTGTAAAATAAAGCATAAACCTCTTGCCACTTAATGCTGAATCTCACACCACCAGCTAATTTGGCCATGTTGTGTTTAAGATTTTCCTCTGAGGTCTAGTTGGTTGAAATACCATCAGGAATAAAGGGGGTAAGTTATAAGAAAAATAAAGAAGAATGTGTTAGGGCAGATAACCAGTTTTTGCTCATAGAAACAATAACAGAGTTTATTTACTAAAAATTAAAATTATCAGTTTAACCCTTCTCAATTCTGCAGTACTGTGGTCTATCTAACTATGGTCACTTGGTGTGTTAGTCAATATTATTCAATTCACATATAACAAAAAACAAGAGTGATGCCCCAAACTGGTGACTGGTAGTTAGTTCAACAATTCATTCAGAAAAGATTAATCTATGGCCTGCAAAGTCAATTTCCAAAACATGGTCTCCAACTCAAGTTTGCAGCTTAAACTTCTTAAACTGGGGAAAATTTCTTCAGCTGACCAACTCTTCACTGACAATATTTTGCAAGGGGTGGTGGGATAGGCAGCAAAGAGGGGTAGGGTGGTGATGTCAACTTGCTCTGTCTTCTCTGGCAACTGGATCACAAATGCTGCTCCACTGCTAACTATTGTCCGAACTGCTTGAATATCTCAATGGTCAGAATCAACCTGCTTAGACTGGAGCATCTCTGGCATGGTTGAGCTGGAGTTAGTTTGATTCATTATCACAAAACCCTAATTTATCATTTTCCAAGCTTTTCCAAATTTATTCAGCTAGATTCCCTCAACCAATTAGCAATACCTGGTAAAATTATTATTTGCCCAGTATTTAATTTTCTATACACATACATTTTCAAACATCACACCATTTCTTTATTTTCTCAAGAAATGAATGGGAAAATTAATGATAAACATCAACAATCCATCATTTTGTCCACAAAGAAATCTTTGTCTAGCTTTTATCTATCTAATGCCATCTTTATTTTGTCTCATGGCTTGCATTTCACTTGTCTCAATGAAATCCAACCACATGGCTTCCTTTCTTCACATCTTGTGAACCATCAACTTATATTAAAAACTCACCTTCTGCAGGCATTTTAGTTGAAAATGGCAAATCCCATTTTAAGTAGAAAAACAGACTCCAGGATATTGCTAATATGCTAATAAAATCCATATTACTTAGCTTGGCTATCTAGGCTTTTTACATCAACTTATCAAGTTAATTCTTACTCCATCTGGCCACCAGGTATAGATTCACTTACTTGTAACATCCCCACCAGTAAGTGTTGCAATCAAAAAAGTTACACATATTTGAAGAAAGTTTTCTTTTAACATTTATACAATCTTTTCCTTGGCATAAAAAAGAAATATGAAAAATAACTCAACTGATAGATAATCCAAGTAAAAACAAATTTTTAAACATTTTCCTACATAGTTTTTATACAACTAATGTGGGTTATATGACATCAACTAGCATCAGTTTTTGATACCAAGTTTCTCTATCATAGTTTAAGAAAAATAATTTAGAATATGATGGTCACAAGAAGCTGATCGTGTTGCATATTGCAATCTAATGAATACTTGTCTTTATATTCTTTTTACATTTTTATGAAAAAGTTGACAGACATTGAAAATTTTTAACATGTATTCAAAATGTAATGTTAATTCATTAATAATTTAGGGGTTTTTGTCTTCTCTATATAAACAATATGAAATCTAGATTTCTTAATGAGATATGAAAGAAAGCAAAGTATCATTATTGCCTAAATGAATGATAACAATTAAAAAAATTCAAATACAACTTATAAAAGAAAGAATCATGAATTTCACTGACCATTAGAAAATTATAACATAGATTGGTTAAACACTTCTTTTAAAGAGAAATTGAAAATCCTCAGGATTCTATTAGTTTAATGCAAACTTCTTCAACTGGCATTTTGTAAATGGGCTATGTTGATGAGTTTTTTCTGTCTGAAGATGTCATGTCACTTAAGGATGAGGGTCTAGCCCTTTAAATAAAATATAAGCATATAACTTACTCTACATTCCATGAATAGAAAAACAAAATGTTTATTTGCTTACTTTGGAAGAGTGTGTAATCCAAGAGAAACATTAGTCGTTCAGCAGCTTCTCTGATTTCATCCAGTAATTTGTACACTGTAACATCCATAGACTGATAATAAAACAATATCAAGATATTATTTGAAATGAAAGAGATAAGCCAGGAATTTTCTAATAATGGCAATAGGCCTTCAGGTCTTTAAACAAAGGAAAATAATCTTAAACAACTAGTAAAATATCAATTTATCATCAATGTTGGTCATAAATTAAGATATATTGGTATGTAATGTTCAAAGTGAGTACACAAATTTATGTAATACTCAACAGATTGAATTCCAAGCAAATTAGCTTTTATGGGTAATATGCTAATGTTTAAAATAAATTTGTTACTTTTTAATTACAATTCATCTTTTTAATTGACATTCTTTATATATATATATTATTTATAAAAGGAAAATACTATATCTTAACATTTGCTTATTGCAAAATGTTTTAAAATCTGTTTTCAATGTAACTATCTTTAAATAAACTGATTTTGAATATCAGGAATCTGTTTAGGTAAAGTTCATGTTCTAATACTGATACCTTGTTAGCATTTTTATTAGAAAATAGCTTATTCATAAAAGTGAAAAAATTATGTTTTTATATAATTTTAGTTTAATTCTTTTGTTCCAGAGTGATCAGAAATGTTCAAAATTTTGCTACTATAGGAAATAATTTTTTTCATTATGCAAATTTATAAATGCAAAACAAAATATTGACACACATCCAATGAGATTTTGTAAGTTATTCTTAAACAAATTAAATGCCTTTGCCAGCATTCAGCTGGAAGGATCAAGTGGCAGAGAAATATTAACTTATATTTCTATCTTTCAGATCAGATAATGAAAATAAATTAGTTTCTTAATTTTGTTACAAATATAACTGAAAAATCACAAATAAAAATTATGGCATGCTTTAAAGTAAATTTCACATAAAGACATCCACATATTTACGGACAAATTATTAATCTTACTTGTTGAAGGAATGCCTGTGTTTCCACCAATTCTTTTGTAGTGGTTGGAATAATACTGACTTTATCACTTATTTCATCATATCTCTTACAGATACTGCAAAATAGATTAGGTATATTGTTTGTTTTACATGCAAACTAATATAAAAACCATCAGAATTTAATGCTCCTTTGCAGAATCTGTCTATATTTCTGAGATGACGTATTATGTACACTCTTTACATTATTCAGACTATTGTCTTCATCTTTGCCACCATATTTATTACAATGTTTTGGCTGTTGTATGCTCTGGCCTTCTTCAGGTAGCTGGAATGTCAAACTGAACCCTTTATATCACTCGCTGGGGTAGACTTCGTTCCACGTGCCATGTCTAATGGATGTCAGTTATCAGTTATCTCCTGTTAATTCCCCTCTCCAAGTTCTCCACTGCCTTAACTGGGTATTGAACTCACACTCTTTGGGTCCTGTCACTGATATAACTAATGCCTTTATTCACTGTGCCATGTGTCCTTGGGGGCATCTAGACACAGTGGATAAAGGCGTTAGTTAGATCCACTGACAGGACCCAAAGAATGTGAGTTCAATACCTGTTTAAGTCGGTGGAGAACTTGGAGAGGAGAATTAACAAGAGATAACTGATAACTGACATCCATTAGACATGACACGTGAAACTAGAACAATCTACCCCAGCAAGCAAAATAAAGGGTTCAGTTTGACATTCAAACCACCTGAAGAAGGCCGGAGCATACAACGGCTGAAATGTTGTGCAAAATATGGCAACAAAGATAAGGACAATAGTCCAAATAATGTAAATAGAGTCCTTTGCAGAAATATCTGAATGTTTTTAGCATTAATTTTTGTAGCATATCTATATTTTCATAATAAAAATATAAAAAAATTTTTAAAATATTACAATTGTTTCTTTACATTATGAATTTAGAGTATGCATGAATTTTTAAAAAATATAGATAATGTTGCTAACATTATTTCTGCTGTATTTCTATTGATCTTTTTCTTTTAACACTAAATAAATTCTGTTAAGAATGTAAAATATAAAAATGTACTTTGTAAAAATCAAATTTTATACTAAAAACAAAAGCTCAACATCAAATTAGAGTTAGATGTTTGGTAATATAGTTTTTTTTTCACAACATATTCAGACTTAATGCATGATGTATTAATAAATGTAGATTTAATTCCCTTGTAACTATTTATAGACACCAATCACATTTCAATAATGCGGAGAGCCTGCAGCTATTAATAGTCAGAGTTAGTTCTTCCATGGATTGCTACAGATAAGCACAGAATATGTTTTGTTTAGTCATTCACCTTTTACTCACAATTATCCAGCATTGCACTACATTAACATGTTACATAACATGGTTGCCACACAAAACCTGGAAACAAAAATGAAGCATTCTTTTGTTTGAAATTCATGATGCATTTAAGAATGGATATGCACGTGGATACCCTGAATTAAAAACAAATAGAAAAGAAAATGAGTTTGAAATTACCAAGAAACCTCAAAACTTTGAAGGAAACCTGGATGAAAATGACAAAGTATAGGAATAACACTAGGATTTGTATTCCCCAGTGCTGGAGTAACAGAAAAAAAGATAAGCAAATACAGGTTGCTACATTCCTATGCAAGGCTGGACCACAAGCTTTACAAATTTTCAACTTGTTTAAACTTGAAAATCCTGATGACAAGCACAAAATACAATGTGTGAAAAATAAATACTGTTAACTGAGGAAAAATATAATGTACATTAGATATTTATTTTTCAGCAGAAAACAATTACCTTCAGAAAAATTTGATTCATTTCTAACTGATATAAAATTTATGGCTAAGGACTGTGAATTTGGCAAACTCCAAAATGACTTAGCCAGAAACAGTATTGTATGTGAAATCTTAAAGAAAGATAGTCACAAATTATTACTTTGTGATTCAGACTTAACATTAAAAAAAGTAATAGACAAATGCCTAGCAATTGAAGTTAGCACAAACCAGTTTAAAAGTATAAATGAACAAACATCAATTTTGGCAGTAACATATAATGGAGGACTGAAAAATAAAAATCCAACATCCCAATATCAAAACTTGTCACATTTTGTGCAGTAAATGCATCAGAAAAAGCACTCACCAAAACAATGCCAGAATGACAGAAAAACATGTGGAAAATATCACAGATTCATCCATTTCACCAGCATGTGTGACTATAAATGATGAGGTGCATCACAAATAAGTGCCAAGAAAAGTGATTATTCATCATATCACTAGCTATTTCTAACTGGCATCATACTAGAAACAAATGCAGTGACATCTGAATGGAGACAAGAGATAGAAGTAAATAACACTACAACCATTAATTTCAAGCTAGACACTGCAACATAAGCCAACATAATACCCAAGAATGTACTGTGTACATTTTACACTAGTCTGATACAGAAAACCAAAGTCCAACTGAAAAGTTACAGTCATCTCACCAAAGGTAAAGTAAAACTGAAATGCCCAATCAACAACAAGGGAATATAACTTTGCTAATCTAAGGAAAAGATGCATGTGTGGACTTAGGCTTATTGAGTACCACAAACAAAGGAGATATGCATAAAGAAATAATGGAACTAACAGGACAGAAAACTTGCTTGTCAATAGGCTGCATAAAATCCAAGGAGGAATGCTCATATTAGAGAAGAAAAAAAATTGTCCAGCGCTGGAATGAATATACTGGAAAACTCTTCCACAATGAAAGAGAACAACTGGCAATACACAGAATTACCAACAGGCCTGAAATTCTAAAAACCGAAGAAGTGGCACTGGCCAAATTGAACAGAAACAAAGTGGCAGGGCCAGACAAAATAGTAACAGAGGTGCTGATACCTTATATGATTTTGGCATAGACAAGATTATGGAAATAATAAATGAAATCTACAACAGTGGGGATATACTGGAAGCCCTAAGCAGATCTATTTTCATAGCACTACCTAAGAAACCAGGCACAAACGAATATGAACTCCACTGAACAATCAGCCTAATGAGCCACATAACAAAACTAATCATCAGTATTCTGATGAATAGAGTGCACAGCAAAATCAGGCCAGAGATAGGACAAGAACAATGCAAGTTTGTTAAAGACACTGGAACAAGGAACAAAATATTCATGCTCAGAATGTTATCAGAAAGATGCAGAAGAATATGCACCTGCATTTTATAGACTATGCAAAGGCGTTCAACAAAGTATGCCACAAGGATCAGTTGGGGCTGCTCAGAAACCTTCATATATTCAGGAAAGACATTAGAATAATCAAAAATTTCTACTGGCAGCAAACCACATGCATAAAGATAAAAAATGAGTTCAGCAGATATACAAAAATAGAAAGGGGTGTAAGGCAAGGATGTGTCTTCTCACCATACCTATTCAACCTATACAGTGAGGCAATTCTGAGAGAACTGGAAAGCCTACTAGGATTCATCATTGGCAGCCACAATCTTAACATAAGATATGCAGATGACACTGTGCTGATAGTAGATATGGAAAGGAAACTACAAAACCAGCCTACAGAAGGTAGCAAAAGAGAGCAAGAAGAAGGGACTAAGCATAATCTATAAGAAGAAAGAATGCATGGTCATCAGCAAAAAGATAAGCTCAAAATATGATTTACAGGTCAGGGACACTAAAACCAGGCAGGTGCAGAAATTTAAGTATCTGGGAAGTATTCTGATAGAGGACAGTAAGTGCAACACTGAGATCCAAAGACGTATTGGGATGGCCAAAGACGCATTCCAAAAGCTAAGTAGGAGGATTTCTTTGGTAACAAAGAAAAGAGTATTGAACTGCTATGTTATGTCTGTCCTCCTTTACAGCAGTGAATGCTAGACGGTCTCCTCAAAGATGAAGAAGAGACTTGAGGCAATGGAGGTATGGTTCTACAGAAGGATGCTGTAAAATATTGGTTAACTTGCCAGTGGTCTGACACACAAGTAGGCAAGTGTAGCCAAGGCTAAAACTTACTTGAGTCATTTCATGGAGAAATATATGGGTGAATAAAGACCACTCATGCAAATGTATTGGACAGGTCCATTCTAGCAAAATGGACCAACCTAACTGGTGTATTAGGCACCCTCCTATAAAAAGAGGTAAAATCAGCTGGCTTGTTTTACAAGGAAACAGAAGAAGGCAGCCATGTTGGCAGGTAAGTCACTTGACTTCTACAGATGCTAAGAATACCATGGACTGAACATGTGAACAATGATGATTTAGAGAGGATGCAAACAAAAAGGAAATTCATACTTAACAACAGGAAAATCTGATACTCACAGGGCAGATAGAAGGAAAGAGGGACAAGGGAAAGCAATGCATGACATACTTAACAGGCTTAAGCAATTGGATGGCAGAATAGGGCCTGGGAGAAATAACAAAAAGTCAAAGCTTATTGAGAACTACAAGGGAGAGGAGAAAAAGGAGAGGAGAAAATGGAGAGCCATGATCACCTACATCCTGATATTGAAAACTCAAAGCACACATAGCTTTAGTTTCTCACCTGAAATAAAATAAGGTTTTCTTGTTTCCCTTCTCTCTCTCTCTCTTTTGTTTTATATTTCTATTTTGTTCTTTTTTACTTTCAGTTCTTTTCACCCATGCAGCAATACTTTTGATTTGTTATTCTTTCTTAGTTGTTATGAGTTTTGACCTTAAGAACTGGTCATCTACTCTTTTCTTCACATATTCAGCAATGTAGAATTCATCATTCAGGTAGGAAGGTTCATATATAGATCATAGCCTTAATTGATCTGGTTACACATACCTTTCTTAGGTGATTATCACATTTAGTAATTCACCTGTGCATTTGATATATGCAACACAGTGTGTTGAGTTGAATTGGAACTCATCTTCATTGTGCAATTTCCCTTGTTTGACAGTAACAAGTAAAAAAAGGATGTTACTCGTTTAAGATCTGTGTTCCAACTAATTCCTTCCAATATTTTTCTGCTCAACGTTTGTACTTGATCACATTATTTGGCATGTGTGTGAAAAGCTATTTTTAGCTTTTGTCTGAATCTGTTTCTGAGGTCATCAGCTTGTTTGACCTAATTCCTCTCATAGTCAGCAACTATTATGACAGATTGAAAGGAGAGAGGATGTGAATGTACTATATCATAGAAAGGTGGAAAGAGAGATGACTTGCTAAGTGTATAGTGTGTGTGTGTGGTCAGGGATTTTTGGCTGTGAAAGGATATAGCAAAAGCTCAGATATGACAATTATATTAATTTTTGAAATTTCATCCATCTGTATCAGCTAGTTTTACCAAAGATTGTTTGCAATTAAGTGAAAAAGTTTGTTAAACTTTATAGACATAAAATGGCTATATTTTTCAATAAAATGTTGAAAAGAACAATTGCTGCATATATATTTCTACACTTGAACATAATGAAAATTTTGTCAATTTGTGACAGGCAATGAAAAATGGATACTTCAAAACATAGAAGAGATCATGGGATAAAAAAAAATAGATCAGATATTCGCATTTTCAAATTATCATTCATTCCGGTCTTTAAAGAAAACTCTTTATGAAGAAAAAAATTTCATTTCCCTGGAAAACTGTAAAATGCCACTGCAGCAGTTCTTTTCTGAGAATGATAAAAAGTTCTAGGAGGATGGAATTATGAAACTGCCTGAAATATGGCAGAAGTTATTGGAACAAAACAATAAATATGTTATTCAATAAAATTAATGGTAAAAAATTTTCTCATATTTTTAGTTAATAAATTTGATGAAACTCCTTAGTTACCCAGAACTTTTTATATTATATATGACTTTGAAATTATTAAATTTACTTAGAATTTTAAATATTTGGTGAAAAGAAAAATGCAATTCAAATTTACAAAATTGACCAACACAATGAGAATTAAATAAAAATTAATCACATAAGACTCCAATCCTATGATAATCCATGAGTAGAGGCTCTAAACTGGAAGTTTTTGTATTTTAGTATCTAGTGTAGATGAAATTGAGTAAACAACAATTAAAAGCTGTAATAAGATATGTTATAGTGAACAATAATTCCTTTGATAAAATAAATATGAACTTTGATTGAAAAGGAAGTTTGGCTTACCTTTTGTTGATTCTCCTATTCTCATCTACCTCAAAGGATATTATGCGCTGTTTCAGATTATTGGCTTTGTTATGCAGGCTCTCATTTAACTCAGTACTATCCAGACAGAACATACTAAGTGGCACTGTGATATACAACAGGGCAATTTCATTCATTAGATCTTGGTAACTATCTATTTTCTGTTGAGCAGGAGGAAAAAAGAAAGAAAAGAATGATTTTTAAGAATACTTCAAATATACTATGAAATTACAAGTTTAAATGGATTTTGGTATCATAGCTATGTATTTATGCAATTGTTATTCAGATATACATTCAAAGAATACAGTATTTGAATATGAAGAGATATTTGCTCAGACTTCCTTGATAACTTTCTTCACCTTTACAATTCTATCCTTTTGAAAAGCAGTGCATATTGTTGGATTACCACCTGCTGATAATAATCACAGCTGCTAAGATTTTTAATTACTGCTCCCTGACAATAATTACAGGCAGCATGAGATCTCTTTCTTGATGATTTTTCATAGTGAAAAGACATATTCTTAACACTCCCGCTGACATGTAAGTACCTCAAAATACAGACACTGAAGGTTACTTTTTACTCTTCACATTTAATTTAATTTCTCATTTTTCCTTTTGCAAAATGTCCTATTTGTTATTTGTTAATATTTATTAGTATAAATTCTATGTCTTATTTTTTTGTGGACTCACATGAGTCTGTCAAAGTTGTTTGCAGGTCAAATGTACCAGGAGCATAAAAATCTCATCAAAATGTTGATACCTGCAACAATATAATTAATATTTGACTTGATATTCTATCAGGTTATTGTAGACACTTCCAGATTTAGACAAGTTCAAAGGAAAAAATCAGAAACTAGATAAAAAATTGCTGTCTGAAATTTTAAGAGAAGTTCCATCATAATTCCAGGAATGATTTAAACTAGTATCTTCATTTTTGCTGTTTTGATTTGTTTAGGCCTTCTTTAGGTCACATCCTTAATATTAATGAACTGACATCATTCATCAAATTTTTAATAACTTTTGACAAAACTCTAATTAGAATAAATTACATCCCTAAATGACACCTGCAATTTTTTTGTGTGCCAAAAAGTGAAGAGATACTAGTTAGAAATACACTCCCTTCTGTCAAGAGAAAGTCAAGAAAAAGACAATATTGTTGTGCATGCCATGAAATAATACTGGTAATAACAATGTATTAAAAATAAAGTCCTTAAATTGATGCCCAGTGTAATTTATAGTTCCTTACTTGAATGTGCTTTCCTCAATAGTAGAAGGACTAACCATGCAAATGAGGCAAAACTTATTTCAATATTATTACACCCACCATATTAAGCTATGCTTATTTGACATCTTCTACCATTGTCACAAATGATATAACATTTTTTTAATCATTTCATCCCAAGTAAGGCAATAAAACTACAAAGATGCAAGGGGGAGGGGTCATGGAGAGTTGAAAGAATATGAGAAAAAATACAATTAAGGAGAACAATAAAAGAACAAGAATTAAGAAAACAGAAGATGACAATTGACATTGCATTTAAATTTGTGAAGATCAAAGTTGACTGAGAAGCAAAATGCCAGAAGAGAGTTCCACAAGTGAGAAGTGTGATAGAAGAAACTGCTAGCATAGCACTTATGGTTACATTTAGCTGTTTCAATGTAAAATGATGAAACCTTGCTGCCAATCTAGGGTTTAAATTCATAAAGTCTAGGTACCATCAGAACAATTACCATAAAAGTATTTATAGAAAAAATAGAGAAGCTACCTTACAGTGGTGGGAAAGTAACTGAAGCTGAGATACCAGGTCAGGACCAATAACATTGCAGTCTTTCTTAGATTTTATCAAGAATCTCTAAATATATAGTAGGAGCACCAGATCATATGTGACAGAAATATTCAAAGCATGGATGAATAGCAGACTTATAAATATACAAGATAGATTCTGGAGAGAAAAGTTGTCTAGCACAGCACAGTGAATCAACTTTCCTAGCAATTGATTCAATATAATTTTTTCCCTTCATTTCAGTGGAAAATGTTAGTCCAAGAAGGTGAAATGAGTGACTCTCCTGGAGGTTAGCATCAGCCATGTAGATGGAAAGCAGAAAGGGGTCTCTCAGAGGATTGATAAAGAGCAGTTTCATTTTGAAGGCATTAAAATTAACAAGCCTGCCTATCTAACAGCAGATTGAAGGTTATTTTTTAGTTCAGCTGCCAATTTGACCTTATCAAACTGATCAGACTTACTATTAAGACAGGAGTAAATAGCTGTCTGATCAGCATAGATACTGAGTGGAGAACTGATGTCATCAGGAAGGTTGTTGATGAAAATGTAGGCTCAAGGATAAAGTACTGGGGAACATTTGCATTAATGCAAAAAGATCTAGAAGAATGGCCATTCAAGATAACATTCATTTTACGATTTTATAAGACTGACTCAGTTCAAAAATTCATTCAGAAATACTATAAGCTTTCAACTTGAAAAGAAGACTTGTATGCCAAACCCTATTAAATGCTTTCAAGATGTCCAAAGTAGCAGCATAAGCTTCACCATTCTTACTAAAGCTTGATAAACTCTTTCAGCAATAATTGTTAATACATCAGCAGCTGACCTAAAGAAGCAAAAGCCATATTGCTTATCTAAAAGAAGACCCAGCAATGTGAAATGCTTAACCAAATCAGTGTTGATTAGGTGTGTTCATCTTGTTTGGTTTTCACACGTCCACACATTGAGAACACCTCTCAACTGAGAAAAATACTAGCGTTATATAGCTCTCCCAGTTCCAGACCCATACTGACCATTGGCTAATACCTGCCCAGTATCGTTCATATGCAAATGGTCTACACCACCTACTCTAAGTAGAAGGTCTTCTCTCAACAGCCCATCGTAGAAGGGGACGTAACTCCTGGTGCTAACTAACGCCTTTATCCCCTGTGCCATGTATCCTCAAGGACAGTGTCATTAGTTAGATCCAGTGACAGGACCCAAAGAGTGTGAGTTCAATACCCGGTTAAGGCAGTGGAGAACTTGGAGAGGGTAATTAACAGGAGAAAACTGATAACTGACATCCATTAAACATGGTACGTGGAACTAGAACAATCTACCCAAGTGAGCAAAATAAAGGGTTAAGTTTGACATTCCAACCACCTGAAGAAGGCCGGAGCGTACAACGGCAGAAACGTTGTAATAAGTATGGTGACAAAGATGAGGACAATAGTCTAAATAATGTAAATAGTGTACATAATACCTCATCTCAGAAATATAGACAGAAAACTTAGCCCTGCTGAGGACATGTTTACAATTATTACACAGAGTCACAAATAGGCATCTGTTGTGATTGAAACTGTCATGCTGGTATGGCCAGAAAAAGTGATTCCTGTAGGCTATAGTGGCTGAACAGGCTGGTGTAAACCAGGGACCTGGTATTTTCAAGAAGATACAAAAGTGTCGATGCCAACTTTAACCCAAAAAGAAAGCTCTGTGGTACAATTCTCAATAGGAAGAATAGGAATATCAATCAACATCATGAAGAAAGTCACAAAACTCATCCCAATCAGTAAGCTAGTAACAGAGTGAAGTCTTGTGAATAGGAGGTTCCCATCTAACAGACAACTGAAAAGAAATATCAACAGATACTTCAGTATGATCTAAATTGCCAAGCGGACAGATTTGTGATGCTCGATAAGAGCTAGTAAGGAATAAATCAAGTAAGGAAGTAATTTAACCAGATTTATTAGGGAAGCAAGCAAGGAAATCCACTATTTGCATAAGATACTAAGCAAAAGAAAAATTGAAAGTCTGAATACAAGCAATGTCAGTAACATTAGAATACTTAAGTCACTTCTCATGATGAGCATTAAAATCAACAAACACAAAAATGTTCATAGATGAATTTAGAGAGAGATAGCCATTTCTATACTGTCAGAAATTTTGTCTAATATGTTACAGTTCTGAGAAGTGGAGCAATAAAGGAAAAAGAGATAGTTAAGAGAGTGCAATAATGAAAGTCAAAAGCACATGAAAGAATCATCTGGTGACTCCAGGGACAATTTCCTTGCCATTGGCCATGCATATTTATTTTAGAATCTTTTCAGCAAAGAAGAAGATTGTCTAGAAAAGAGAATTCATTAAATAGCAATAGAAGAATTTAAATTAGTTTCACAAAGTGCAAAGATATTTGGAGACCATTTCAAGAGAAAAGATTCTATGCTGCAGAAATTGGAATGGATAACATGAATATTGGAGAAAGAAAGGTTGTAGGTGACTTTTTGTTTATTGGTTTTCTTGCATTGCTTTTCATTATATCTGTCATAAGGAGATTTTGTTTTGAGGAGAACAAAAGAAAAAGGCCAACATAATTATCACTATCTGTTGTCAATGGCAATACAAACTGCCCAGAATATGCCTGAGACTAAAGCATAATGTTGCCTCAGGGTTGCCTACTAAAAATACATGCAGAGACACTTACCCATGCATGATATGGCACTAGAAATACCCCCAAATTATGTGACTGTTGATCAGAGCATCCTCTCTAAGCATTACCAAAGTGTGAGGCTCTTTACTACCTGTTAGATGCAGCAACTACTAACTAGTGCCCTCATAGTGAAGAGTCACAGCCACGAAACAGTCAGATCACCAAAAAAATTAACATAAATCATTATGGCCATCGAAGAAAGGAAGAACTGAGGCAGGAAACAAGGGATAAACCTCTACTCCTGTTCAATAAATATGGAAGGAGTGCAGTCTTGGCGATAGTCAAACATATCTACTCCTATTAACCTGTTCACAGCACAGGAGGCTGGGCAATTTCTTCAAGATGCCATCTCTAGGAAGGTTACTGAATAAGGCTCAAGACTCCTTCCAAGCCAAAGAGGAATTACTGAATTATTAATATCACATTGAAGAGTTGAAATCAAAGGAATATTAATAGATTAGATCACTTCATCAAGTTAAAATTGAGAATTTAAGGTTTAAATATACATACAAACACAACACAAAATTTACACTCAACATCAAAGCAGAGAGTTAGTCATCAAATTGACCAGCGATTCTTACTATTTTCATAATTTTGGTGATCCTCTTCAGGATGTATATGTGTAAACAATTAAAATTTATCTGTGAAATTGTCAGTTATTACAGGTTTTCTTTTGACTGGTTACAACTAAAAACTTACTTAAAGGCTAAAAATATTTTGATTCTGGAAAATGACTGACCTCTTTAAAAGTCTCAATTGAATGTTGATCCTTGAGGAAAAGAGTCACTTCTTGATCTGCCTTCTTATTGAGTAAATTTGAATACTTCTTGTAATAATTGAGGTACCTATATATGGAAAATAAATCAAAACTTGTCAAAACAGCTGCAATCATGAAAAAACGTGTTTTTTTGTAGTTACAATGTTAATAGCTGCAGATTATTTCATCATATACCTTTTTCCCTAGAACTGCTCATTACAATGAATGACTGTTTCAGTTGTGTAATCCTTTAAATGACAATATTACAAAGATATATAAAAAGCATGATGAGAGAGACTCGGGAGTGTAAAGTTAACAAATAAGATATTTCTTCAGTATACAAAATCAATAATCAACTCGCACATCTCTAACAATAGTTAGGATAGAATAAACATAGTTGTATTAAATCAGGACTAAACATCATCACCAAGAACATCTATTGGAACTAAAGTTCAAACCACAATTCAAGTAGAATTCATATATACGATCCATCTCTAAAGATGCTGTAAAATGGTTGGTTCCTTGTAGCTCTTCAGAAAGTACCTGACTCCTTCTGCCATGCCCTATTTTTACAAGAGTGAGATCAGACCAAAAACTGTGTATATCTGCAAAATTTGGGCTAGAGCTGCCCAATTTTTATTTTTCACCCTTAATAGGTTTCGAAAGTATTTATGCAGCCTTGTGGGTGATGAATCATTTTCAACCCTACAGCTCCTTTCTTATAGATAAAACATCACAAGCCCATCGCTCATCTATCACAATTTCCATGACAAGTGTTCAAATGAGCTATATTCCTTAGTTCCACTAGCCAAGATCTTTACAGCAAAGGCCTGCCATGCCATACAGGACTTGTTGAAACAGCAGCAATGGAGGGTCGAATCATTCTCATTCCTTTGATATTCCATTGGTAAGAAGGAAGTTCTATTCAGACAGCTCTTTACCCCAAAACCATTACTTTGTGGAACAGACTGCAAGAGGATACTTCCCTGATCACTATAATGTTAGCCTTTTCAAATCAGGGGTCAATCATTATCTACCCTGCATATCCTCACAATCTTCTCTCACATCCATATACCCAATGCATTCATTAAACCTCTTGCTTGAGTGGCTCTTGGGCCTTATATTGAGAGTACATTTAATAAAAAATGCACCACTACAATAGTTTGATGTCCAGTAAAAACATTAACATGTATAAAACATTACCATCCTTATGTGTTAACTAAATTTTATTCATCATAAAATTAATTTGAACCACTCAAATGCTCACTCAAATATCAGTTCTTATGTGTTTGTCATACTGCTCAGTTGGTTTTTCTTACAGAAATTTATTGAACTTACTTCTGAGGTCCAATAGTATTTTTTTTGAATATCTCAATGGCTTGGTCTACAATATCAGTGACTTGCACCTCATCTGCATCTGGGGAGCGCAGAAAAAGCTGTTGATTACGCATATCTGTAAAAAGTTCACACTCTACACGGGGCAGTCCAGTTCCACTGGCGATTATCTCAGAGAAGCATTTAATTAACAGATTAACAATTTCCCTGAATGGAGGCTCAAATACAATCTTTGGTTCTTCAACTTTCAGTTTGATTACCATAATGGATGACATTACATATTCTAACTCATCGTATTGTTCACCAAAATTGTTGCCATTCTGAAAAGAAAATGAGGAAATAGTTAAATGTATTAGTATACAACACAAATATTGATATAAGATTCACTCTTCATTTCTCCTATTTCCCCCATCCTCATCTTCAACCCAGTTTTTATTATTTATTGCACTGTCAATGTTGGCATTTGGTCATATCTATATAGCACCAATTAAGAAACAAACTAAACATTTTCCTATGTGATTATGGTTCTCAATAGATTTCTTTTCTTTAGTATCTGTGAATTGACATACATACTTGAGAATGATAATAAAGTGGTTCCCTGTTACTTTATCCAGTCTTCCTTCTCTTAGATTGGTTCCTACTCAAAGATAGAGAGCTCAGTCTACTTAACTATTTAACCCATAACTGGTGGGAAAAAAAAGAGATGGATTTGTGCCTTTAGCAAGTGTGAAAATGAACACAATAAACAAGGACAGAATTTGAACAAATCCCTTTCTCACAGATGAAACAATTCAAGCCTCTCACTATTTCCATAGGAAATGTTCAAACAAACTATATTCCTTTGTTCTAACAATTCTAATCTTCATAGCTGAAATCCACCATACCATGCACATTGTAGCGAACCACCTTCATTTCCTTTGCATTCCATTGGCAAGATGTAAGTTCCACTGAAGTAGCTTCTTCCTACAAACTGCTGCTTTGTGGAACCAAGAGGATGCTTCTCTTGGTCACTACAATCTTAACCTCTTTGAGTTTAGGGTCAACTGTTATCTTCCTTATTTATCTCCATAAACTGTGCTTTTAACTCTGTAACCTTCTACCTCAAATGGCTCTTGGGCTTTGTAAAGAGTGACATAAAAAAAGAAGACCAGTTGCAAAACATGCCAAAGTAGAAGTTTTCCAAATTGTCATATATATATATATTCACCACCCTATTGGATTCTCATTCAAATTTACTCACAAACAAGAAAAAAATATGGAAAAATGATTTTTAAATATACATTCAATCTTATTACCTTGACAACTGTTTACCATAATTGACATTGAATATGACATTCATCAGGAAAATAATCATGAAATAATTCAACTTCAGTTATTTATATTATCAGATTAGTAACAAAGCAATGCTAAGAGGATTAGCAATGAAACTTGATACTTGTATTTTTTCATTAGTCATGTGAATGCAACATTAATGGCTATGATTAAAGTTCAAATTTAGTTCAACAGTCATTTTCTGAGGCAACACCAATTGCATTTGTCTATCCTCTTTATCTAAGACTTATAAATTGGTACTTACAATATGAATTTCCAGAAATTTCAAAAAATCTTTGAGAGAATTAATGACCAAATTCCTTAGTTGGATTGACATAAGTGAACCCACGCTGGCAAAAAACTGCTTAACCAATTCCAGAGAATCTACATCATTTTGTGGCACTAGGTGATACCATAAATCCTTTTTATCCAAAAATACTTGCGCACAGTTTGGAATCCAGCTGCCAATTACAAAGAGAAAAACAACTGAAGAAGCTATAATCTCAAATAACAATAAAAAAGAGTTTGAAGCTAACAGATTGATCTTAAAGCATAAATTAAGTCTAATACTTGAAATAATTTCTATATTTATATTTAGAAAACATTTTAGCATTTAATATAATTCTGTCTGAATTTAATCCAACTGTAAACAATGTAAATAATTAGTAATTCTGATCATTTTTTCTATAAATGAATTTTAAACCTTTATAGTGCTTTAAGTATATTAGATATAAGTTTTTATATGAAGTCTGAACAGTTTTTCTTTTATACAGTATAGTTATTTAAAGCAGTACATTAAATTTACATTATTTTAATAAATTATATTCTTTAACCTTTTATTTTTTTTCCTTTTCCAGTCACATTTTATTCATTCACAAATTTACAAATAGCCTACTTAAATAAATTCAGTTTTATAACTGTTGTTAATCCAAGTTTTGTATATAAGGATTAAGCAGGATTAAAAATGAGTGACAAATTTATATTTTTCTAAATTTTTATTGACAAAAAAAAAAAAAAGAAAAAAGAATTACCAACCTGTTTCGAAGTACATCTCGAGAACTTGCACAATGACTTTTAACCAAAGCATGGAATTCTTCTGGTAACAATGGAAGCTTTGTATTCATAAGCTGTTCAAAGCTAACAAACCTTAAATGACTGAACCTTATTTAACAAAGAAAAAAAAGTCACTATCATTGATAAGCTTTTGACAGTCAATGGCTTCAGTAAAAATCTTTCAAGCACATGAGCCAGAATCTTAGCAACATGCAGATTGATGAAACAGCTATTAAAATATCTATAAAAATGAATTAACTTGTCTTCTTTATTTATTAGGAATGATAAATGATTGATGTGAAACATCCAGTAAAATATATAGAAATGGAAGATGCAAAAACCTTGTTGGAAATTGAAAATGTTTTATTTTCATGTTGAGATTTCACTACTTTATGTGAGCATTTTCAAAACACAAATAAAATCTGTAAGGAAAACATGACAACCCTGCAACAAAAAACAATTTGAAAGCATTTGATAAAGTACATCACAAAGAATTGTTGGAACTGCTAGGTAACCTTGACATATTTGGGGAGGATATTAGTATAGTCCAAAACTTATACTAGGAAAAAACTGCCTTCGTACAGATAGAAAATAAATTCAATAAATATGCAAAAATAGAAAGGGGTGTAAGGCAAGGATGTGTCTTCTTACCAGACTTATTCAACCTATACAGTGAGGCAATTGTGAGAGAATTTGAAGTCCTACCAGGATTCATTATTGGCAGCCATAATCTTAACAACTTAAGATATGCAGATGCTACAGTGTTGATAGCAAACAAAAAAAGGAAATCACAGGAACTCCTACAGAAGCTAGTGAAGGAAAGCAAGAATGAGGATCACATCAATTGCAAAAAATGTACGGTTGACAGAAAAAGGAACAGCCCAACATACAAATTAAAAACACCAAAATCAAGCAAATACAAAAATTTAAATAACTAGGAAGTGTTTTAACAGGGGATAGAAAGTGCGACAGCAAAATCCGAATGCTCATTAGGACATGTTTCCAAAAGATAAGCAGAATATTAAAAAAACAGGAAAATTTCATTGAAAAAAAAACAAAAATAATGAAATGTTACGTAATATCAGTCCTTTGATATGGCAGCGAGTGCGGGACAATCTCTTAACAGAAGAAGAGACATGAAGCAATAGAAATGTGGTTCTACAGAAGGATACTGAGAATTCTATGAAGTGAACATGTGAGCAATTATGAAGTTTTAGAAGGAATGTAAACAAAAAGAACATTATAATGTTTTTTTTTAAGCATTTACTCCAAGCAAGACCAAAGTGCCACTCGTATGCAAAAGCGTGTAAGTAAAGGAAAAGACTGGGTATAGGAAAGGATAAAAATAGGAACGGAGGAGGATAAAAAGAAGAATGGGGATCAAGGCAACAGAAGATGTCAATTGACATTATATTTAAATTTTTGTAGATCATAGTTATCAGGGAAGCAAGTAAGAGGAAGGGAGTTCCACTGTCGGGAAGTGCAAGAGAAGAAGCTGTTGGAATAGGTGGTTACAGTTAACTGTTTCAACAGTAAAAAGGTGGGACCAAGATGCCAACCTAGTAGCATGCTTAAATTCATGCAGTCAGTGAAAATAGCTCATCAGAGCAGAGGCCATGAAAAGATTTATAAAAAGACAGAGGGAAGCCACATTACATCAATGAGAAAGTGACTGAAGTTAAAAAACCCAAGTCAGGACCAATCACATTGCATATCCATGTTTTGGATTTTGTTGAGAACCTAGAGATGAACAGCAGGGGTACCAGACCATATATGGCAACATGCCTGGACAGATTTGTAGATGTGAAGAATAGACTGATGAGAAAAACCTTCTGGCGTAGCACAGGAACCCAACTTTCCTTGCGGTTGATGCAGATACTGATTCTATGTAACATCAAAAAGAGTTGAAATTTCTATGGCACATAATGGAAAATTTGATACTCACAGGGCATATTGAAGGCAAGAGGGACATAGGAAAATAGTGCATAACATACCTAACAGAACAGGGTTTAGGAGAGATAGCAAAAGACAAAATTTACTTAGAGCTACAAAGAACAGGAAATTTTAGAGATCCACGACTGGAAAATCAGGGAGAAAATATATCTATGACAATATATATGCCAACTTAATCATAAGTTTAAACTAAATAACTGATGTCAGGAAGAACTTGGTGAAAACATCTTCATTTCCTCTCAACTAAAATGGCCCAAAACTCTTTTAATAATTTTAATTTATGATGAATAAAATAAATTTTAATAAGAAATGCATTAGAAAAATCTAAAATATTGTGAATGATTTAATTGATTATATAAATAATTTGTTAACTTTTCAAAAATGTCCCACCTTATAATTAAAATTCTAAGAACAAGTTCATTTTAATAAACAAAGATTTGTATTTATCAATATGGCTTAGTGGTAGAGCACAAAATGGAAGCTTGTGTCTGATAAAACAGAAGTAGAAAATTAAGTATTCAGCATTAATTATTATTTTTACAGAGTGAATGGACAGCTTTTGCAAAACTATCTATGAATCTAATTGTATAGATTCCTATTTTGTGTTAAGAACAAAGTGTCAAAGTTCCAAATAGAATTAAAATTTAAAACTCAAATGAATTGGAATTGAAAAATAGTTTATTTCTTTAATCAAAGTTTTCCTAACCAAAGTCAAATGCATATTAAAATAAATGGAATAGCCACACTTTCTCACTAAACTGAGTGTCATAAAACCAAAGCCAGTTTATTAACAACATATTCTTCCTTTTTGATTTGCCGACAGAAAAAAAAAGATCTTTTCAACAGATTACAGTGCAGTAGAATAAAAATTTTACTTACTGAGTGCACCAGATCCTTTGTAGTTCTAACATTATTGGATTTATACAGAATAAACATTGTTTGTTGAATTCCTTCATTTGAATATAAGTAAAGTGCCATGGAACAGGTGACCGGATTACTCTGAATAATATAAGAAGCATTTTAAGATACTTTTATGTAGAAGAAACATAAAATTTGAATTCATTTTTAAATATTCTAAATTCCACATGTTCTTTAAACAGAATTCATCTATCAAAACTAAACTGAAATGGAAGTCTATTTTGAATATTGATATCTAAGCTGTTATGTAACAATATCCTTAAAAACTGTGTAAACAAGATAAGTAGCAGATAAGTTTATAAGAAATTTGAAGATGCCTAGGTTTTTAACTATTCTTACTGCAAAACAACAATTAAATAAGTGATGTAATGAATATGCATACACCTGGGTTCCCCCTCACAGTAATATGATTGGCTGGTGTCAGCCATAAATACAGACTGATGTGGAAGTACATGGACAATGCCTATTGCCTATGCTTATTGCCTACCACTACAATGAGGACCAGTCCATTATAGTTACCTGCTAGATTGTCCTACCTGGTTACAGTAGTCAACAACCACTTTGATACTTTGAACAAATATATCCCTTTCCGGGGACATATCAATAAGTATATCTAGATTAAAATGAGTGGGTGCTCGTAATGCCAGTACACAAAAAATGTTAAAATTTGTAACTTGAATGCTAAAAGTTTAAAAGTTCTTTGAAACCTAAAAACAGGAGACAATTGCAAAAGCACAGACAAAAATATTGTACCATGGCTCTTTTTAAATAGGGTATTTTTTACCATCAGAGTAATCATGCCAAATATATTATCAAGAGCAAATTTCACAGTGTAAGATATTAGACTAACTACTGTTAATTTTAATAAACTCAATCACAAACACTACCCACTGTTGAAAGACATTGAGCATGTAATGTTATGTTAGTAAAGTCTGATACGAATACAAGGCTAAACTTTCTATACATAAAATAATTATCCACTTCAGGACTGCATCAAATTAACATCAATCAAATCAAGTGTATGTGGTTTCAGATCTTTCTTCAAACATTTGATCTTCCTGTGATGGTGTGAAAGATTCTGTATCTTCCCTTGAAGGTCAGGTATTTATATAACTTCCTGCTATCCAGTTGTGCATGTGTGTGTGTCCTAAGTTCAGCTGGGTTCACATCCTTGCTTGTGATGCTGAACATACCAAAATCCTTTGAGATTTGATTGCACTTGGTGGCTTTGAAGTCACTTTATAGATCAATCTTAGGAGTTCTTTTGATATTCTGAGATGACACTTAGCACAAAACTTACTTTGATATCACTTAGGGTGAATGCAGTACATACTGAGGTTTCCACAGATCAACTCTTATTAGATCAAAGGTTCCTGATGGACATTAAATTTGACTCAGACCTCTGGTATTTCCTAGTATGAATGACAAATAAATAATTAGAAGAGTTGGACAATCTTGTAATTTAGCATCTCAAATTATCAAAGTTGTGAGTTTATTCAACAATAAAAAAAAACATCTACAAAATTCAACATGAATTGCAAAGGATATTGTTCACTAACATTTACAAGAGTATTTTCTGGAATGCATATCTGCTGCAACAGAGAAATGTATCATTTTGCCATCTCCATCATATTCCTTCAGGTAGGAATCAAAAAAATTCCTGTAGCTGTCACACAAGACTGCATCTCCTCACTGCAGTTAAAAGTGGTTGGGTCAAAGTCAACCCTGATACTGAGGAATCCCAAGGCAATTGTGGAGGAAACTAGACAATGTTTTTTATCTCTATCCACACATATGAATGAGTGTCTATGGCTTTAAACCTGCCCTTGTGGAGAGGTGAATAAATGCTACTTTATCCATACACTTTACTCTTTTCTTGGCACGAGCCCAGAAACTCTCAACGGTTTGTGTTTGAAAACCATTTCCTGGCTCTATAAAATTACACAAATGATCAGTCATATGTTGATAATCTACCACAATTTAAGGCACTAAACTACAATTTTACCCTGTTTAAGCAAGGGGAAATTCTGTTTATAACATTGGCTATTCTGATAATGAAATCCAAAAGCTCAAAATGCGTCCCCAAAGTTAAACAAAATATTAAGAAACAGGAAAATTTCATTAGAGACAAAGAAAAGATTGATGAACTGATATATAGTATCAATCTTTCTATATGGCAGTAAATGCTAAAAAATTTCCTCACTGAGAAGACTTGAGGCAATAGAGATGTGGTTCTACAGTAGGATCCTGAAAATAACATGGATGGAACATATTAGCAATGAGGAAGTTTTAGGGAAAATGGTAAAAAGAACTTAGAATCAGAAGACAATTGAAATTTCTGGGATGCTTAATGAGGAAAGAGTGCTTGGAGAATGATACACTCACAGGATGTATTGAAGGCAAAAAGGAAGCCCACCTAACAAGCTTGTGTGAATGGATGGCAGAACAGGGAATAAGAGGGATAGTAAGAGGAGAGTTACTGTTTACAGCTGCAAAGGAAGTAGTGGAGAGTCATGATTACCCACATCATATAAAAGAAGATTCTGATAATAAGCCTTTTGTCTAAATTACTTTGAGTGCTAGTCTGCTTGTGTTGATTGTGAAAGCTTAATGCTTTATATCAATTAACAGTTTTTGTAAAAGAAAATTTCAGTTGTAATTATAATGATTTGTCTTCTTTAATTCATTAATTGCCAACTGAATTAACTGGCCTATTCAGTTTACAAAGACCATATCAGTAATTGCATACACTGAGAAGTTGAGAAATTGTCTTCATTAGCAGGTCTAATTTCTCTAACTATTGGCATATTCTGACAAAAGAAATAAAAGTTTTTCATAAAAAGAATCAAATAAGGGAAATGTTTTTGTTATTACTAAACTGGCTGACAATTATTGGAATGATTTTGCACACAGGCATTTGCTTGTAGGAGCAGTCAAGGTAGTAGAATGTCACTTAGTGTCAGCAATGAAAGAAGCAATGGAGTTTTTATGACAATTTATGTGCACTGTAAAAACATTCAAGGCACCTGCTTTTTACAGAACTGCATGACTAATCATATCAATTGAATACTTAACACTCACAATTACAGCACAGGTGGCTAACATATGTTGACATGTTATTTTATTTCATATCTACACATGATTTAGGAAATGAAAGACTTTTTATGTAATGTTTCTTTAAATTGCAGTTGGGACACAAAACAAAATTAAGAGAGAAAAAAAATAGATAAGGAGAATCAAACAGATTAAAGCAACTTTGAGGATTTTGAAAAGTTTAATTTGCAGTTTTTGTTGGTATCTCAATTTTTGACTAGGCAGTTAATGTTTTTGTTCAAAAAGCAAAAAAAAATGGAAATTACTATGAAAGTAGTTAATAATCTTTTTAACATCATGCTTTATTTCAGTAATTTTATTTGATTGTTCTTCTTTGTGCCATGTCCTTTCAGGACGTGGGCGATCATGGCTCTCCACAACTTCTTGTCTCTTGGAGCCCTTATCAAGGTTTTGCCATCCATTTACACAAGCTTGTCAGGTAGGTGGCCCGCTGCCTTCCCTTATCTCTTTTGCCCTCAATGTGCCCCCTATGATGGTTAAGTTCTCCAAGCTCTCCTTCCTTATTATGTGGGCCAAGAAATTTCAATTGTCTCTTTCTGAGTATAAGTGTCCCTTTTGCTTCCATTTGCCTTAAGACTTCCTTATTGCTTACATGCTCCATCCATAGAATGAGCATCTTTCTGTCAAATCACATTTCTCTTGTTTCCTGTCTCTTCTTCATCTGTGAGGAGTTTGTCCAGCATTCACTGATTCCCTGCCACACAAGAGGATTAATATTACACAATAACCAGATTCATTACTGTGTTGTAATTGATATGAAGAATTAGATATTTTTTAAGAATATTCAGATAATACACAAATGCTAAATGAGTGACATTTCAAAGTATTTCAGTCAGCAGTCTGTAATAAACAGTTCCTTTAAAATTGTTAATTTACATTTTATGATAAGTATACAATCAATACCATCTTACAAATTAATCCTTTTCTTAAATACATCATTACTAATCAATATATTGATTATTTAGTTAAAAATGTAGATCATCAAACCTCTGAGGGAAAGATTGGGGTATCCAAGCAATATGGAGACGCGCCTTTTCTTTGGGATCCTTCAAGATGTAATCCACTAAAAATTATAGAAGATAATAAATTGAAAGACAGATAAGCCTATTCAGGTATGCATCCATTATACATAATGATAATAACTAAATTTTATTATTTTTTAAAAATTTCAATATAGTGAATGATTTTAAAATGTTTATCCAGCAAAAGAGGTATAAGGTATCATAAAAGTATTTGGAGAAAAATTATGTGCAATTCAAAGCAACAAAAGTTATATTTTTGTTGCTTCCTGAAAATGCTTTGATACTGGAAGGAACAAATATTAATAAGCAAGTAGGAGGATGAAGATGAATTACATTATTTTTTTTTTTAACATAACAGTAAAATATTAGTTAAATTTAATCTATGAGAGGTTAAAACCCTTTTATGTAGTATTCAGTTGATAAACAAAAATTCTTTGTTTTTCTAACTCAATAGTTTAATATTTCCTTTCAATAATTTATACAATGAACATTTTAATTGATTTCTTCTAAAATATATTTTACAAAATAAAGTAAAAATATATGAAATATAAAAACATACATATTTTTTTAAAATTTTACAGTACAATTAAAATTCTGTTAGAAATATAAAAACAAGAAAATATAAAAAAAATTAAAAAAGAGAATTGCAAAATTATCAATGTTGATATAAATGATTACTAAATTCTAAAACAAATTAAAATTAAATATTAAAATGGCTAATTGCAAAATGATTATGTCAAATGAGAAAAATAAGTTTTTCATAAGTTTTGTTTTTTTTACAAATGATATCTGTAGATTTTAATGAAAATTTTTAGATTACAAATTGGAAAGGTTTTCATAAATAATAGAAAACAAAAAGACATAGGTAAAAACAACAAAATTACAGAATTACCAATTGCTTTCCGTAGGCTGAACTCATAATCATCATTCACTTCCTCATGCAATTCATTTCTCAAATTGGTTAACATAGGATTGGTTAAATACATTGCTGGAATCAATTTATGGATTTTTTCTTTCCACTGTTTTGGAGACGCAGCCAACATACTGGCCTTGATGCCATTCTCAATATAATAGTAATATCTCTGAAATACATATTAACTAAAGATTACCATGTCTCCAAAAAGTGTTTATTTAAAAATTAATGAGATTATCAAATAAGTAAACTACAGGAACCTTTGATAACATTTAATACAAGTTGTATTGCAGTTTTAAAATATTTATTTTCTAACAGCTTATTACTAATATTCATTAGTCAGTAAATATGTCAATGACTGTATGGGTGGTGTAACTTTTACAAACTCAAAAAGAGAAAATGGTGAGCTGAGTTCAAATTCTGGTCAAATTCATTACACTTTCACAGAAATACTCTTGGGAAAGGTATGTAGTCATCTCTTGTCCTACTCCCTCCAGCCATAGGTTATATAGTAGGGCTGACTGAGCTCTCTTGCCTTGAAGTGGTAAACAGTCTAGAAAAAGAAAACTCTTGAATTCAAAACCAGCCTGGAGAAGGATGGGCACTATCAGGTTATCTTGCCCTTGACACACCACTGTTGCTATGACTGCAGTACATGTGGTGTCCAAACAACCCTAATGGTTTACAGGTAATGTGAAATATGTCAGTGCATTAAAATACTTTATAAACTGCAATGTTCATAAAATAACCAAGAACCTGGAATATGACATGTAATTCTTATCCTTCCAATCAGTGACAAAAACAAACTACAAAGTACTTTTGCATGAAATTTTATATGCCATTCATTCAAAGTGTTAGAAACTGCTTTCATTTATATGTAAGAAATTTTAGGTTCTTCAAAATGAGGTTGAAAACTGATGAAATCATTTAAATAACAATTTTTTTTTAAATATTTTTCAGTAGCAATCTTGAGAACAGTATTTTCAAAAAAAGAAGTGTTTTTACTAACGAACCTTCAGATCTTGCTCAGACGGCTCCCCTATCAATCTCTTTTGCTCATTTTCAATTTCTTTCATAATCACCAACTGCCGATATGGAGACAAAGGACGACCTTCACTTTCAGCTACCCTACATATGAAGCAGACACATCAACAATTTAGACTATAAAATATCAATAGTTCAGTTTATACAAAATGAGTTGAGTTTTTCCCCAGTTATAAAATATTATTTTCCAAAGGAAGTATTGGTCTTTCATTATTCAAATTCTTTTCAAATTTACAGTCAAATCAGTCTAAAATATCCTGCAGAAGACTAACAGAAGGATGTAACAATAAATTTTGTACCTTGTATAACTAGCAAAATTCCTATTCAAAGTTGGCTGATATTTTAAACAATCAGATTTGCATAGAAAAACCAAAAGGTTATCAAAAAATATATTGTTTGAAAAGTAAAACAAGCTTTTTGAGGTTTTAAATAAAGATTTTGAAAAACAATAAGTGTCATTTGAAAAACTGACAACAAAGATGATAGACATGAATAAATACATACAAACTAAATGGCTTCCATGTTAAATATATTTAATTGCAAATAATGTTGAAATTATTGGCTTGGTTCTTTATTCTTTCAACCAACTCTTTCCCCAATATATTACTAAAATGAGCAGCCTCTGATAATTGGATGTCAAAAGTTTACCAATGTACATGAACAATAAATACTGAAAATAATAATACTTACTCAACAGGTGCTTTTTTTGAAAGTTGAAGAGAACTTTTGCTCCGAAGAAGTTTTTTTGGACTTCCTTCAAGTCTGCCACTTGGTTTGATAACTGAAGTTAAAGAAACGGTTTTTGTACGAATCATTTATAATACTTACAGAGAAGACAAAATGGTCTGTTTTATTAAAGCTGATTATTAATCTTTCCAGCTATGTTTTTAGTTTTGATGATATCTATAGAATTCAAATGGTCACTTTCAATAACTGTTTTTTTTTAAGTTTTGGATAATTCTAAACATTTTTCAATGCTGAAATTAAATTATAAACTGTACCAAATAAATGCAAGATTTATACTTTTTAAGAATAAATCTTGCATAATATGTAACGTATAATTTTGAGTATATTTAAAGCCAACCATTTTATTAATATTCAAATAGTTTTACAATAAATGATTGAGTAAACATCATTATAACATGTGTTTTAGACCAGGAAAATATATTAGCATGAAAGTGGATATGACAACAGTTTCATTCTGTTAGTATATTCATGTTAAATCATTGAAAACAGAATGAAATAAATTATATATTTTGAATACAGAAGATAAAACCTGATAAAACAAAAAAGTTTTACTTTGATGAAGGAGTGGAATGTATCAAAATAGAGTGTATTAAATAAAAACATCAGCATAAATATGCTAAACTACTAAAACAGACAAAAATGTATGTAAAAATCATGAAACAAAAAGTATAGAGCAAATAAACTATATTGACAGAAGTGAATGTAGTAGATTTTCAGCTATATTCTAGAGCAAATACTATCTATGGATAAAGCCAATACACTGCAACACTGCAATTCATACAACAATATAAAGGTATAAAATACAAATTTCTGTCTGTTTCTCAAAAACATTTGTTGCGGGCCGGTGTATGCATTGAGAGATAAACACATGTTTCTCCTGAAATGCCCAAAACAAATATGGCAGACTCAGGATGTGAGTCCATGTAAATAAATAAAAGGAAAAGAACAAGAACCAGTATATGTATACAAACAAATGATAGTGTATTCACAACAAAGGTATACAAGTGACAAGACAATAATGCATATAACAAATGAATGTGGAAACCATTTTAATCCAAAGCATGCATGTAGTGAGTGAATGTTTGTATGTAAGTGTGTGTGCATGGTTCATGCATTTCCCAAAGAGAATGTGTTCTCCATGAGAGGTTACATGTTGACGATTAAGTGGATAAAGAAGAGAACAAGAAAAATATCAAAGAATATCTATAGACATGAGAGCCTCTCCTAGTAGGGGTTTTGAAAATTAGGAGGAGGTAACCTGACACATTATTTTAAAAAAAAGCATGATATGGTGATAAAATGAAAAGCAAAACGTGGAAAATATAATTTGTTTAAATTAATGCATGGCTCTATATGTAGCATTTTATCAACTATTTCTGTTTAGATTCATCAGTAAAATTTATTATGACCAAAATGCATTAGGACATTTCATTGTTAAACTCCACCTAACTTAGGCAATACTTATATGAATATCTATAATAATAATAAAAGATCCATTTGTTTTGGATGAGAATAACCAATTAAAAACTGATAGAAATTATAGAAGACTTATGGATTATAAGATATCCTGTCCATTTGATATTTCTTATATTAATTCATTAACTGCAGTAGAAATTTTCATAATTCTGATTGACAGAAGTGCAATGAAGAAATTCCTGTCATTCATATTTAATAAAGTAACTCTATATTATTATCACTTCTATCATTAATCATTTTAGGCTGTAAGAGTTAAAAAGAGAAATATTTTTGTAAAATTAACTTTTAGGATCAGGCAATAAAGAATAGCAAGATTAAATTATTCACAAGAGGATTTTAAAAAAAAATACCTTTTTTTAGAAATAGCCAAGAATAAAGAAATTTTTTATTAAATATTCAACAGCATTTTTATGATTATTTCTTCTAAAATATACATGGAGGAGAGAGGCCTGAATTTGAGTTTTTATCTGTTTTTAAATATGATCCAAGAGACAAGCATATAGATATCTATATGGTTATCGCATGCAAGTTGCCAAGGAAGTAAGGTTATATTAAAAAAATAAAGCTTTTCTAAATTATACAACCTTACAATAGAGGAATACATGCAAGAAAAAGTACAGCAAAGAAAATAAACAATTTGTTTTCAAAAAGATGATCAAATAAAAATGGCTTTATTGTAAAATCAACATTTTTTAGCAGTAAATTTGATACACGATTGGATGAGGGGAAAGAGAAGACTATAAAAAAAGCAAAACATGCAAAAATAATCAATATTTTAAGAAAAGTTAGGAAATATACTGACCATCAACTGATAATGATCCTGGAATCAGAGGCACATTATAATTTTAATCAAAGAATGAATAAAATAAATACTAATGAATGAACATGAGATGTTGCCAATATTCAACAATTACATTCAGTTTTATATAAAAATATATCATTTTATGCAATGTAAAATTTTCAAGAAAAAAATATTTTATTTTCAAATATTTAAAAGTTGTCTACAAAAACAAAATTTCCAAGACATTGTTTTTCTTTTTCTAAATTGTGCTAATCTGTTTTTTCTAATATAGTCACTGATTTTCAAATATTATCAAAAGCTTACAATTCTTTATAAAGAAAAAGAACATATACTTACTTTTTGATTTTGATCTCACCAACCTGGGAAGTTTCAGCCGTTGAGCTGAAGGTGTAAAGTTGTTACCAATGGAGTCACTTGGTTTTACTGAATGCTTTTGTTCTTTAAATGGAGATGCCAATGTCCAAGACATATCATCCATAATGGGTGGATGAGTGCCATTTTTGACAACAATCTGTCAATAACAGCACAAAATTAATAGTCAAGAAAAATATGATTGTGCAAAAAATAAAAATAAAATTAAAGAACAGCTTTATTCAAAATAATTGATTTCAGTTTTATAAAATTTTACTTAAAACAAAAGTAATATAAAGTTTAAAAAACATTTAGAAATTCTTATTTTTACACAATATATCGTGAAGTGCTGAAAAGTGAGTCTCTTTAGCCTGGTTATGGGTAGCAACTTGACATGGTTCAACAAGTGTCTAGAAGAGACCTCTGGAGAGATATTGAGCCATGCTCTTTTGATAGCTCTCTACAGCTCACTGTAACTATAGAATATGAATACACCTCTCTACTATGTCCCATAAATGCTCTTTGTCAGGTGAATGTGATGACCACAGTATTTTTGTTGGAAGTCTCTAAAATGTTCCACAAATCAATTGTGGGCAACTTGGGCCCAATGACACAATGCGTTATCATGCTGCAATAACCTAATGTTGCTGGGGGACACAGAGTGTATCAATAGGTGCAAAAGGTTATAGAGCAGTGAAACATAGGAGGCTCAGATTAATGACATGTTTAAGCAGACCAGTTGACTATGCCATACCACAAGAATACACTACATACTATTATAGAACTACCACAAAACTTCAGTGTCTTGCAACTGAGGTCTCTGGTCTTATGTGATCTGTACCAAACTCAAACCCCACCATCATCCTAAAACAACAGAAAACATGACTTATCAGACCACAACACATGTTGCTAATCATTGAGGGTTCAGTTACTGACAATCATAAGGTGTTGCAATGTTTACAGGAGTACCCTGGTGGGTCTTCTGCACACATGTACTATGGAAGCTAAATAATACAGAATAGACCTGCTGGATATAGATCTGGTACCTCCTGTATTGAATGTGGATGTGGTTTAAATCAGTGATGCTTGTCAGTTACCAGAGACAATTTGAGCAAAATGTCTCTGGTCGCACATATTAAGAGTCTATGGTTGACCACTGCACTGTGGTAATTTTTTCCATCAGGCATTCCTGATACACATATGTCACCTGAGATTGAAGGATATCAAATGTCCACAGAATTTCAAAAACAGAATGCCTCATCTGTATGACCATTTACATTTCAATAAATTTACATAATTTTACTAACAGATATTCATATTGGCTCATTAGATGTCAGAGCACAACTGATATACATCTAGGCATTTCCATGATATCAAGGCACATTGGTATGAAAAAACAGAACTCAATGTCAAGCAGGTAGAGTTATTATAATAGTAATATACTATCATATATAATATATTTATATCTATCTATAAACAAGCTCTCTTTTAGACATATAAATGATAATGCATATAATATATAAATATCCTTTAGCAGACAGATATTATCAATTTGTCCTTGTATAAGTTAGGATTACAACTGTTAAGAAAAGTAAATTCAAAATGAACATGTTCTTTAAGAAAGAAAAATTGAATGATATTCACCAGTGGTAGGGACAAGTCACAATTAGAAATCATCAAAGAATATTTACGTCAGTTAGAATAAAAAAGTTCAACAAGGTTTTAAATAAAAATTAACAAAGTATTAGAAAATAAATTCCCTATTTTTAAACTGGTATATTAGCATGAATGTTAATTGGTTAAAAAATATGATCTATTGAAAAGTTCTGTGTAATTCTTTATCTTTTCCTGCCATTGGTTGGTTATTTTGTACTGATTCAGTTAAACTGAAAAATGTCACAATATGGTTTGACTTCACAATAATTTAATCAATAATTTGTTTTATAGGAAATGAAAAAATATTTTTATGTAATATCCAATACTATTAACATTGTTTCACAAATTCTGTGTTCAGTTACAAAAGTTAAAAATTAAGTATTTCAAATAGTCTTCACAGGAAAAGCAATTTTTTTAAAAAATTTCATTGTTAATTTTCCTTATGCTGATTTTGATATGGTAATTCTAGATTTTACAAAAGCTAAACAATATAAAGTAGAAAGGCTTTTTAATATAAAATATATTTGAAGTTAAAATTTTCCTTCTTTTGACTAATACATAAGTGATACATAATATCTCTCAGGCTAAATTTTAATCACTTCAGACTACTAATTATATAATTATAAAGATTTCATCATCCCCTTTTTTCTCTTTTCATTTTGAAGCTTGTCCTTGTGAGATCTTTATATACAATTCTATTTTTCTTCTCTCTTTTAATCATTTCGTTCCAACCTTTTAGTCTATAGCTCCACACCTCTCACTTCAAACAGTTCAATCATTCCCCTCTGTCACATAATCCATTCATTATTAACTCTGTTCAACAACTCAGTGGAAACTTAATTAGTATTGCAAAATTGATATGTGTGAAAAATGCTGGATTTAAGCATAAGCTAAAGAAGCTAGGTTAGGGTCTCACAATATTCCAAAATAATTTTTGGATGAAGAGGCAGAAGATTTTAAGATTCTTCTGTATTTTTTCTTTGCAAGGACCCTCTAAACTTAATGTAAATTTATGGGTTTGTAGTGACTACTATGTTTTTCCACGCCCACATTTTATTCGTCTGCGATTCTATAGGACAATTTAGCCATCGCAGTCGTTGCTTTGAATTTTTCGGTTTTGAACTTGCTTACTTGTTTCGTTAGTACAAATTTAGTGATTGGTCAATTTTTAACCAATCACATATTTTAGTGCAAAATCAACTTTTCCTGTGATTTCGCTGGGAGCCTACCTGTAGCTTTAAAAGAGGCAACTTTTTCACAAGCCACCAGTAGAGTCCACTAAATTTCGCCTGACAACACAAACCTATGACTTTACTCACAATATTTCAAACGCACATCCAGACACAGAATTTTGTAATACATATATAGATATCTCTGTGTGACTCAACCAAGTTCAATCAGCCAAGACTCTGTTGATTTCTCTAACACAACACACTTTCTGATCAATTGTATTCTTGTGTTATCTATTCTAACAGCAGACTTGTTCTAACATTGATTCCTGAACATTTCTCTCTCAAGAGAACTTTCTTTCGAACAATCAATTACAAATCAAAATAGGGTAAAATCGAAGCAACTTCTTTTCCCTTAATCTATACATTGAATACAAATTATTGTATATTTTGTTCTTGTATGTTATTTCAATATATACTTGTTGATTCACATTTGGAATTTTGTTGTTTTCTTGAATCATTAATAATACAAAAGATATATGCGCTAAAGAACACACCATAACAGGTTCACTTAGTCTAAATCTAGTACTGCTAAATTAGGAGCTTTATACTCCCAAACTTCTTACCATTGATAAAATGAATTCTTTATTAATTTATTTTGATAATGCTGTTTCTCAGTAACTCAAATACTGAATAATCCATATCCTACCCTTGACTAGGTTGTTGTGGTAATTCACAACACAACATATCTACTAACAAAAATCATGTTTCTAAACACAAACACAGATCCTTACCTGGTACAATGTTGATGGTTCTTTTACTGTGGAAGGGAGAGGTGGTAGTGATGGAAGTAACCTGTGGAGTTTGGGTGGGCTAGGGCACTGAAAAGAAAATGCACGATAGATTTTAAAATGAACACGTCAAGATCTATTTAATTATGTATACTTTAAACTTACAATTTGATAAGATAACTAAAGGAAATTTTTAATTAATTTTAAATCAATTACTGTAGTGTATGTAAAAAATAAAAGAATTTTTTATTGAATATTAAAATTAAAATTAAAATACATGCACTGCACATATTCAATTTTTTTGGGGGGAACTGACACAAAATTCAAAATGCAAGGAATTGTAAAGAATATATTTTAGATCAAATAAAATAAAAATTAAAATGTAAATGATCTCTTTAATTCTTGTTCATCGTGTGTTATTTACTTTTTAATTTTTAGCGCTTAAATTAAAAAAAGAAAAACAAAATAAGAAGAGTAATAAAATTTTAAAAATGTAAATTTTTTATGACAATGTAAAACTAGAAGATATTATTTCTAAAAATTCTTAAAAGGTTTAGTTTTGAAAAATGCATAAACGCTAAAAACATTTAGTAGAATTTAATTTTTTTAGATTTATTCATTAGTTGAAAGATTTGAGAAAGCAGTGACTTTTTTTAAAAATATGCCATCAACATTAATATCCACAGTTGTGGATCGTTAATGATTTGGGGAAAATCGGATAAAAATGTCATGTTGTAATGTAAAGTAATAAAATGTAAGTTGCAAACAAAATAATTCGAAATTTTTTTTGTTTAATCGAACAATTAATTAGTAACAATTACTATCTAGTATTCACTGGTTATTTAACAAAATTGGTAAGTAAAAGGTAAAAAGGAATTTTTAAAGACCAAATTTGAAAGCGTCGTCATTGATATCGCTGTCAGTTAATTTCTTATTTGTTTATTTTTTGTGGGATTGCCCTTATAACGTTTTATTTCTTCATTAAATATTTACCTTATTAAGGATACTTATTCTTGGTATCGAAAAAAATTATAAAAGCAAGAAATATTAGCATCGCAGAATTTACCAAAAATACAAATGACTTTTTTCATCAGTTCAAAACTTCAAATTACAATAACACTACTAACAGCAAAAAAGAAAAAAAAAGTAAACTAAACATGAACAACAAAGAGTTGATTTGAGTTTAACTAAATTTCCATGTAAAATTTCCATTATCTTTTAGGACTTTCAAAAGCAACAGAAACTAATACAGAAATTTTGAAACTATTAATTTGTAATTCGTTTTTTTATGTAGATTCTACAGACACAATCTGATTAGAAAACATTTTTTTACCAATTTTCTAAAAAGTGACTTTAAGTTTTGACGCTTTTTATGAAAATTTATCAATGCAAACTTTGTATTTTTAATTATAATTTACAAACACTGATCTAATTTGAAAAAAATTTTCAAATTGTAATTTAATTTAAAACTTAGAAATAAAGGTAAAAAACTAAAAAAGTATTTGGCAAAAGAAAAAAAAAAGACACCATTCTTTTTTTTTTAATTAGCAATGTCGATTTCTGATACATGTACAAAATAACAATTATGCTGACAAAAGAAGTGACAAAAATAAAAGATGAAAAATAAAGACTTACTTCACTGTTGTCCACCGACATTTTTACGTTTTTATTTTAAAATAGTATCAAAAAGTTAAAAACAAAAACTCACAAAAGTGATAAAAAAAGTAATAAAAGAATACTTTAAATAATTTTATAAAGTGCCGTGATCTATTAAATAAATATCTATAAACATCATATTAGACGGTCGTGTGATTTTCGACAACTTTTTGATTGTGAAACCATCCCATCCGATCCGGGCGGCCATAAGATGCCCAAACTACGCCATGTTACATTAGCCAAAACTGTTTACCTTGGTTGCTAGGCAACGTTGCCTCCTGCTTTTCTACTTCGCTCCTCTCCCTTCTCTTCCTACATCATCAGCAGCGGCAACACCTGCCTATTAATGTTACATAGTGTTCATTGTTGCGGATTTTGCAAGTACACAAACAAACAACACATTGACAAGCGTGGAGGATGAGAAAATTTGCCTCTTTGCTTCGATACAAGTGAATAATCTCGTGAATTTCAACTCATAATAATCTTATTAAGAATATATATTGAATCGGTAACTTATTTTTCAGGTATTGGATTTTTTTAATGTAAGCAAATTAACTGTAACATAATTTTTTATGTATAAAAATGAAAAATAAATCCAAAAGAAGCTATAGACCACAGAAAAATGTTGAGTATCACAATATCCTAAGTAAATGTATTTTTTTTTAAATTATTTTACATATTTCACATAATATAATCTTCATTAAACCATTGATTTTGTTAACTTTTTCTATTGTTTCAATTTAAATATTACTTTTTTTTTACCCAATACAATGTCCAAGAGCCACTCAAGATAGAAGGTTACTGAATAAAATACACGTTATGAACGTAAGGTGAAGAAGTAGGAAATGATGATTACGAAGATATAGTGGATAGATATCTAAAGACCCTAGACTCAAAAAGTACTGTTCCGAGAAGCATCAGGCGGGAGTTTGTTCCATAATGTAGTGGTTCTTGCGAATAAGCTTTCGGAGTAGAACACTCTTTAAAAAAGTGGGAGCGATTCAGCCCTGCGGACTTAGCAAAGCGGGTCTTGGCTTTATGAGCTTGTCGTATCCTGTCAGAATTCCCACAATTTTTAAAAACAACTGGAAGAAAAAGCTTAACCAGCGTTGTTATAAGACTTGTTCAGGATAAATATCTATCAGTTGCGTCTCTGTCTTCAGGCAGAGTGAAACTCAGTTGTAGCTTCTGTCTGTGGACAAAGTTGCAGCTGAGGAAAATAATACTTTGAGGTGCCCAGTCCTGGGGAAGAGCTTCCCGAAGCTACACCCTGTCATCGCTCTAGAGAGGGGGATCGATGCTCGCCTCTTGATAATTGCACTTGAAAAGTGCAATTATCAAGAGGACTGACTCCCCGACGAAGATTTACTCCGCAAACTTTTCACCCACAAGAGTCGAGGCGACAGATATTGCTCTTTATGAGAAGCTGCTTAGGCCAACACACCCTGGCAGAACCCATTCCCTGTCTGTGGCACAGATACTTGCACCAATAATTGAAGACACCCTCCCGGACAAACTGGCTAACGTCGGTGACAGGATTTTTGCCATATTTTTTGCCATAGGGAAGTTAATTCACTGCACGAAGCCCGCGAACCTGTCAACGTAGACACACAGCACATTAGAAAGGCGTTAGCAGACCTGCAGAAGCAAATGCAAGATTTGCAACTTACCCTGAGTAGATAAAAAACAGGTCTCCAGTTCAAGACAGCAGCCACAATCAGGAGAGACAGAACAACCCAGTTGCCTGCTAGTTCCATCAAACCTTCCGGGACAAAGCTGCAAAAAGCCTTGTACGTATCGGACGGCATAGGAAAGCTGAAAGACCAGATGGTAACGGCAGTGGACCCAGCCGGTGGAAAAATACAATATCGCTTGTTCTATGCATAGAACAAAAACAACAGACTAAAGGTTCTCGTGGACACAGGAGCAGCGATCAGCGTGATACCCCAAGACCGACACGCCCTCAAACCCGCCCTGTTTAAGCTCCAAGCAGCTAACGGTCCAACATAGAGACTTATGGTACAAAGACTCTCACCTTAAACATTGGCATACAAAGTGATTTTACATGGTCATTTACTCAAGCCAATGTCAGGACACCCATACTCAGAGCAGATTTCTTGGCACATTCTAATCTGTAGGTGCACATGAATACAAGAACCCTGTCGGACCATACAACAAGCATCTCTATCGTTGGTACCCGCACACGTTACAACACTACAGTAATCAATGTCGTAACTTGCCACAATCACGAGTTTATGGACATATTGGATTTGTACACATAAATTACGCAGCCATTTAAGAATACTGATTCAGAAAAGCATCAAACTCAGCACCATATCAGAACAACTGAACACCCTGCAAGTTCTCACCACGAAGATTGCCACTGCACAAATATGACTACAGAAAATATTGAACAAAGGCATCATCCGTCCATCAGACAGCCCATATGCCTCACCACTACATCTGGTCCCGAAACCCGAAAGCACGGATTTCCGAGTATGCATCGATTACAGGAAACACAATTCCCCAACCATTCCTGATCCATACCTAGTCTATCATGTCTATGATTTTGCAACAGGTCTAAAAGGTACTCACAAATTCTCTAAGATCGACCTAACTAAGGCATACCACCATATCCCCATGGCTAGGGATGACATTCCCAAAACCATGGTTATCACACCATTTGGCCTATACAAATTCGTAAAAATGCCATTCGACCTGAGGAACGCGGTCGGACATTTCAACGCCTAACCAACGAAGTTTTTCGCGGTCTTCCCTTCGCATGTGCATATATTGTCGATATCCTGATTGCTAGCGTTGACGTCAATGCACATAAACAGCATCTCCATGAAGTGTTATAAACAGTGTCTCATCTTGGTCTTCTACTCCTCCCTACCTATTGTGATGAAGGCCCAATCAAGAGCCCTCCAGAGCTAATTTATAAATATACCCTGAAAATATTACTAATATATGTTGATAATTACCATTTTATGCAAAAACATTTTATGTTCTCACTTTTAATTACTTTACTCTTATTTCGTACAAGGACATTTCGTACCATATAAGGTTACTTTTCTACAACAAGTAACAGCCTTATTTTGTCTGCAAGGAAGTATATACAGGGTTCAATGGATACATTCTCGATATCACTGATATCTTTACTAAAACTACACAAAAATATCTTGAAATACTAATGGTAAATTTATTAAATAAAATCGCCATTAGCTCCACCACATTCTCCAGACAACTTAGGAATCTCCCGCAACTCTTCTGGGCGGTCTCCTTGTTTAAGTGTGTAAAAGATGTTATAATCCTTGCCTTCAGTTCATCTTTTGTATTACAAGGGGTTTTTTTGTTGGTCTCTCGCTCAACTGTGCCCAACACATAATACTCAAGAGGGTCGCAGTCTCAGAAGTTAGGTGACCAGACGTAAGGGGTAATGAGGTTGCAGAAAATGTCTGACAGCCATGACTGGGTTCTCCTTCTTGTGTGGCATGGTGCAGAGTCCTATTGCCTGACATAGGGTCTTCCAGCAGCCACCATCTTAACTCAGGGCAGCACTACTTCCTCAAGGCGCTTGATGTAGACCTCCGTGTCGAGTCTGAGGCCCTCACCAACAAATTCGAGAGTTCTTTTCCTATGAGAACAATCAGAATGAGTTTTCCGACCTGCCGTGCCTTCGTAATCACCATTACACTTATCTAACTCTTTCTGAATCCTCTCTACACTGTCGGAGTTATGAACCGAATTTTAATATGAAACTTTCAATGTCATATTCGATCAATGTGATTAATATTCACTAAGATGATGCGCGTGCAGCGTAATGGGTATATATCAGAAAGGGGAATCGACAAGCCGAGTTCAAATTCCGGCCTCGTCTGTTGCGTTGATAAATAACCTTAGGAAAGACATAGATCCCATTTTTCTAGCTCTGGGTTAAATAACGGAGTAGATAGGGTTCGCTACACTTAGGTGGCAGTCAATTAAGAAGAACGATTATTTTGAATTCAAAACTTTGGAGAATGCGACGGATAACCACTCGATAATTTTTTCTAATCAGTTCACAGATAATAGTGAAAAGGAATTCGTAGAGAGCCACAATCGCCTACAAATTTCGTAATAAATGCAAACGAGTCCTCGGAGGACCTAAGTCCCTGTTTGCCGAGAGAATGTGGCACCGCATAGCATCTAACAACTTTGGCTCTCATGATTACTAGCGGCTCTGTATTAAATAAGTGTAAGGATTTTATTCCTCCCCTTTTCAATCAATTTGAGGTATTAACATCCTCTGCTGATTTGCCCATAAATTATCCTTAAACTCTATTCTTGAATCATTTGGAGTATCCCTGCCTAACTTCCCACTTAGAAACGAGTCTCTATGCATATAACCCCTTCCGCGGTTTCTGCTATCATCTCTAACGTAGATCCCCACAAAGCACGTGGACGCGATGGTATCCCTGTAATAGTCATTAAGAAGTGACAACTGGCTCCTGTTCTCCATAAATTGTATAATATATGCCTCGTTGTCTCCTGCTTTCCTGTCTGCTGGAAGTCATCATCTGTTCCAGTTTTTAAGGACTGATGAATCGCTCAGCCCTTCCAACTATCAGCCTATTAGCCTTCTACTTCTTTTTTTTTTTTTTAATTTATGTGTAATGAAAATACCCTAATCAATGCCTTCCGGTGGTTCATCATCTCTCATACATAGCCTTTTATTAGACAAGCAATATGACTTTCGTTTCTCCAGGTCAACTGCTGATGGACTGACGATAATTACGGAAAGAGTCTATCATACTCTAGATAAAATCGGTGAAGCCCGGACTATAGCACTGGAGATCTCGAAAGCCTTAGACACACAAGCATTCTCCACAAGGGTTGGCATACGGGTCTTCTCCACAATCTGAAAAGTTACGGTCTCTCCCAACATATTTTTGAACTGATCCAGTCTTCGATCAAATCGTGAAATGAAGGTTATCCTGAACGGCCACTCATCTAGATTC